CACGACGACAGTCACGACGACAGTCACGACGACAGTCACGACGACAGTCACGACGACAGTCACGACGACAGTCACGACGACAGTCACGACGACAACCACGACCGCCTAGAGACCAACCATAACTATAATCACAACTGCCTGGGCACCAACCAGAACCACAACCACAACCGGCTAGAGATAGAGACAGACACAGACACAGAAACATACATCAAGTCTGGAACGTCAAGCACCACGAAAATCAGAGAGCGAGAACGACGACAACAACGAGAAGTAGTCGACCATGCTAAGGCCTTCATGCACATGGTGGAGGCCGTCGTGCGCGATGACCAGGAAATTTCCGAAGATCTGATCAAAGAGACCCACAGGATTTTGTGCTCGGGAGTGCCAGTAATCGTGTCTGCAGACAAGCAAGTGGTCCCCAGCAGCAGCTACGCGGGAAAGTATCGAAATGTGCCGGTTCGAGCAGGAAACACCAATTTCGTCGTTCCCCAGCGTGTCCCTACAGTCATGGCCAGATTCATCACCGAGCTGAACGAGTACTTGAGAAAAGCAGAAGCTGAGCGCCAGATCGATCCCTTCTACATTGCCGCCCATGCATGTGGGGAATTTGTCAACATCCATCCATTCCTCGACGGCAATGGCAGAACTTGTCGTCTGATCCTCAACACCATCCTGCTCAAATATGCAGGCATCGTCTGTCCGATTGGGGAGTGTGAGAGCGAGAGGAATGAGTATTTGAACATTGCACGGGCGAGCTCGGAGGACTGTGTTGGGAACGGTCGGTTGGCAGCTTACGTGGTGGAAAAGGTGGCGGGTATGAATAATTTGAGTCCAAGTCGTTGAAGAAGGTGGCGGCTACGAATACTGTCAGCTGAGTCCGATCAAGTCCGGGTTCGAGTTGTTGCGGGACACGTTGAAAGGAAAAAGTTGAGCAGTGAACAAGTTGATTTCTAGTAGCAAGAAGCTGTGACGGTCATATACGCCAAGTAGCTAGCTAATTCACTCTGTGAATTAGTTCCTTCGTCCTTTTCACGGCTGTCGTGGTGTAACAGTTTAGGTGAACTGTGACAGAAGTTGAGTAGTGAACAAGTTAATGAAGAAGTTGAGGAGGAAGCTAGGAACAATCTAATTAGCCAGCTTTGTTGTCTCAGGTCCATTGCCCAGCCTCATCTCTATCGTTGATCTGTACTTTGTATAGTTGGGATTCTCCCAGACCTTGGCCCAATTAAATGATTTGATCTCTACGTGAACATGGAACCCTCCCTGTATTCATCTATCCTGATGAGACACGGTGATGCTGATGCTGATGCTGATACTGATACTAATGCTGATACTAATGTTGTACATACCTCAACCTACCTCTACCTAGCTTTCGTCGCACGGGAACAGAATGGTAAGTGAATCCTCTGGCGGAAAGACAGCAAGACAGCAAGACAGCAAGACAGCAAGACAGAAAGAAAGACAGAAAGGCATCAATGATGAGGTAGAGAGGCTCTCTGACTTCTGCCCTCTGACTGGTCGTGGTCCCACGCCACCTGCTTCTATATCTAATCTATACGCCCTCCTAAGTGCTTCCTAACCATAACTATTGCCTCTCTCTGCAATCGCCCTCGACATAGTGCCGGCAAACCTCGACACCAGATCCGTGTCCAGCTTGGCCGTTTCAATCGCCTGCAGGACATGCTTGATGCCCACGCCCACCTCCTCACTCCGCGTGATGTCTTTAATCTCGGCAATCGCTCGGGACACGTCCGCCGGCGCAAACGCCTTGGACTCTTTCATCACATGTTCAAGCTCTTCGTACGTTCGAACATTCGCAATGGGTATGTCCGAGTTGAAATGCCGCCAGAAATCCAGTTGCTGCAAAACGCTCCGCTGGGTCGCCGTCACAATAATCAACAGACTTCGCCCGGGAGGAGGCGCCTTGCGTAATAGAGCCACCACCGTCTTGAGGATGGGGTTGCTGAACCGGGGGCCTATCGGCGTCCATTCAATGTATTCCTCAATGTCGTCCAGGACCACGACGCTCATCGGACTCTTGTAGGCGTCCATGAACACCTTGCTGAGATACGAGATCTTCTGGCTCTCACTCATCTCCAACGTATCCTTGGTGCTGATCAGCTTGATGAACGGATAGCCGGAATCAATGGCAATCTTGGCCGCCAATGCTGTCTTTCCACACCCCGGGGGACCGTGTAGACAGACCGAAAACAAGGGCGTCGACTGCGGCTGTCGCACCTGTTCCACAAACAGCTTGCCTTCTTCCAACACGTCGCGGATATACTGAGAGTAGTGGATCACCCCTCCTCTCAAGCAGTACGACAACTCTTCTTCTGACACGCCAAAGGCGGGCTTGACTTCTTCCAGGGCATGTTCAAAATCTGCCCGTTTGATTTTCATGTTGGCCACGTCATCGGTAATGCCGGCCATGGTTCCAACTTTGATATGTCGACTGAATGCAAAAGACGTAGCCGACTTGACCAGACCACCGATCTCGGCGCCAGAAAAGTTCTTGGTCTTGCGCGCAAGGTCGAGTAGGTCGACATCTGGGTCGAGCACTTTATTGTCCCGCATCTTTTGGGTGTGAATCTTGAGAATCTGGGCTCTCCCATGTTCATCCGGGAGGGAAATCTCCATGTGGAGTTCGAGACGTCCAGGACGGAGCAGAGCATCGTCAATCATGTCCTTCCGGTTCGTCATGCCAATTAACAGGATATTGTTGAGCTGGTCGACACCGTCAAGCTTCGAAAGCAGTTGATTGACCACACTGTCTCCCACGCCCGTCCCGCCCCCGGCACCGCTACCTCTCTGTTTGCACACGGCGTCCAGTTCGTCGAAGATGATGATATGAAGTCCAGACTCGTCACCCTTCTCCTTGTACTCCTTCTCTGCGTCGGCGAACAATTTTCGGATGTTCTCTTCTGACTGTCCGACGTACTTGTTGAGAACTTCCGGCCCATTGATGACCTTTGGCTCTCTAGCATTGAGCATCTTACCAATCTGTCGGGCAATCAGAGTCTTTCCGGTTCCGGGCGGACCATACAGCAGAATCCCTTTGACGTGCTGAATGCCCAATTTTTCCACCAACCCAGGAGGGAAGACCCGAGACGCAAAGGCTCTTCGGAAGATGGTGACAAACTCGGCATCGAGCCCACCAATGCCCATATCTTCGAATTTGAAGTCGGGAGCAATGATCGAGTTTGCCGCGGGCCTCCTCGATGACGCTTTGAGATTGATGGGCGTCTTGCCGTCTTTGAAGAAATTAATCTGTGTCTGTGGGGTCAAGATGCCTCGCGCGCGCGGATCAGATGTCGTCGGAGCCGCCTTTTCACTCAAGTCGGCCAACTGCACCGTTTTGACCTGGAGGTTTAAAGGAATACTTTTCAAATCCATCAAGAATCTTTGGCCAGGCGCAAACATCTGGCTGTTGTACAACTGCTACCGTGTCAGTCAATATTCCGTAGAGAATTCGTTCGACTCATACCTTTGTGATTTCCCGGGCAAGGTCATCCTGGTCGTAAGGGGCGTCTGTGATCTTCCTCGAACTGGCAAATCCAATCTCTATGTCCATTGCTCCAATGTAAGCCTGGCTGCTTTGACTAAAAGGGTCATAGACTTCGGCCTGGATTTGATCGGTCAAGGCCACACCCATCCATGACCGCTGCGGTTCTGAGAGCCCAATATATCCCCGCGGAAACGAATCTAGGGGTCGCGCCGTGACCACGTACATGTTGTTGATGAGGAGGAAGATATCGGTCCCGTCACGCGACGGAGGGAGGTCCTGTGTCGACACCGCGACAAGATTGCGGAACGTGTATGAGTTGTCCGGGCTCTTCGCGGGTTGTAGAATCATGCTATGTCCACCGCCACCACCTGGCCGGGCCCCTCCTTTACTAGGACTGTTCTGGTGGCCTGTCGGTCGCGGTGGGTTGCTTCTTGCAGGAAGGGCAGGACTGCCATATCCTTGAGGCTGTCGAGTAGGAGGTGTATCATAGCCTCCGTTCATGGGAGTGTCAAAAGAGCCACCTCCACTGTAGCCAGGACGGGCCGCTCGGTTCGGGGAGCCATAGGGATCTCGTGGAGGTTGTTGGGGTTGTTGGCCTCCGCCGAAGAGGTTATTTCGATTGAGGAAGGACATTTTCGAGAAGGGCGAGGGTAAGAGACCTAGGTCTATGGACAGAGGAGGCAAAGAGAGGCGTCTAAAGCGTGACTATCGCGGTCCCCGGGGCGAATGGATGGGACGTTCGAAGAATCCGGTCGCCTGCGCCGGACGCTGACAGAAAAGGACAGATGTGCTCTGTACAATGCCGTTTAGAAGTCAGATGGGAGGTTCCGCACTCTACCATATATTCAACATAGCGTGAGGTCAAAGGAATGAAGGGAAGTCCGTGTGAAACAGTTGGTTCTATGCTGCGACTTTGACAGTTTGGCGGCTGACCTCGAACCGTAGTCGCCTCACGCCGCTGCGGCGACCCTGTCCAGGTGCAAGCCGATGACGCCGCCTTGTCTTCTCTCGGCCGTTCTTGGGTAGCCTGGAGACTCGTAAAGCAGCGACTGCGGCAGTAGGCTGACTGCTATATAGGGATAATAGCCTTGCCGCTTTATATTCCTCCCATTCTTGAATTGGTCACCAGCACAACGTCGGAAGATCATTGTCGACCAGTACACCATATCGCGGACGAGTGATCCCGACGCCTTCTCAGGGAAGACCACCACGCAAGAGCCACCAACCGCGCGTAGTTTGTGGGGATAATATCTACCTATGTCTATGGAAAGTGGCCTGGGATATGGTACACATGTCAGAGCCTCAAGAAGTACGGGACAATTGCCTTCTGTCATCGTTCAAGAGTGGCTTTGCCTGGGTTGACGTCTCAAGACAGAAGGTAAGTGCTAGGTACTAGGTACTAGGTACCAGGCGCCAGCTTTAGAGATGGGAGACTCGTAAGGGCCCACAGTCTCTCTCAATCTCTCCCTTTCCACTCTAGTCGGAAGCGGCCAATTCCCAACCAAGCTTCACAGTTATGGAGGACTGTGAGTCGAAGGACTGACGAAAACCCTCTCTTTTTCGCCATTTAAATTTGAATTCCCGACATCCACGTCCACGTCCCCCACCCGAATCAGGAAAAGTTGTTGTACACACTGGAAGGACCTAAAATCTCCTGGGAAAGAGCGAATGCATCATTCTTAATACGCTCCAGACCATCCTCGAAAGTAACACCTTGGCCCACTGAGCCTTTTCGGCTTGCCTCAGCTTGCTGATAAGATCCAGCACCCATGGCAGAAGAAGCAAGGGGAAGTGTTTCGTCGAACATGGTCGAATTGGTCGCAGAACCATGATCAGGAGGCTGTCCGAGCTGCGGGACGCAGTCGAGACGACGAAAAAGGACGAGCATTCGTTTCGCTGACGACCAGCGGTCTGGAAATGCTTCGAGAATGGGGATGCACAAAGAGATGACCACGTGGGCGTCGATTCTGCCGCCTTTGACGTCTCCCGGGTGACTGCTGCTATCAATGCAGAACAATAGGATGAGCAGGACCAACAACAATCTGTTTAGAGTGATATAAGTCAGTGGAAAGTGCTGCTGCTGAAACAGCACTGCGCAGTAGTAGATGTACTGCTCGATGGTGCGATGAAGGTCGGAAACCTGCCCCGAGGAGAGCTGCGAGTTGAAGTCGGACGGACAATACAGGAGGGCCAAAAGACTGTAATAGCGGAGGTTCAGCCAACCGATGGTGTTGAGAAACTCGACATTGTCCTTCTCCAAGCGGGAAAGAAGACAGCGCTGGGCGTACCAGTCGTCTATACGGGACCGAAAGTCTTCCAGTATCGCGCGACGGTCGATATATGTGAGGCTGCTGGTGCTGATGCTGATGCTGGGACCGGTACTGGTCGAAGATGTCGTTGGAGAATTGCCCAGATGGACCTGCTGGAAAACCCGGCCTTCAAGGTTGCGGAGGCCGATGGAATTCCGTGAGACCTGGAGTACTCTTGTATAGTGAATTCGTTCCGAAGACGCAAACTCTTCCACTGTGATTCCGGGGAGAGGCACGTTGATGCTCTGGTCATCAATGACGAACGGCAAGCCGAACGCCGCCGCGATCATCCGGTCGAACTGGTAGATGGCCCAGAACAAGCGGTGTCTGTGCTCCGCCTCGAGCCCCGTGGTGGCCATGACGGCCGGGCCATTACTGTTGTCGTCGGCGGCGCTGGCGCCACCGCCTTCATCGCCAACGATCCGACACTTGCGATTGAGACCTATGGCGATAGCCTGCCGACCCAGGACTCCCGTCAAGGTCCACGGTGACACGCCGAGAGGGTCATAGATCGAGTACAACGCAAGCAGGAGCAGGTTTTCGATGGTTTCGACACTCGGCAGCATCAGGCAGTCGTTCATGATTTCTTGATATGGCACAAATACTCGCTCCGCCATGTCCTCCGGCAACTTTCTCACGCTGCACAGGGCAGCGCAACCGATGACGATGATCATATATAATTTGACAGGGACGTTTGCGCACGGTATGGAACCTGGTTTCGCTGCAGCCATGAAATACTGCTCGGCCTCCGCTGTGACTTTGGTTCGGTCAAAAACAGGATATGCCTCGTGGATGTAGTTGAAGAAAGCCTTGACGCATTTTCTGTGGTCGAGGCCTGTGGGTAGGTGCTCTCTCGTCACCGTCCTTCCCACCCTCATTGGTTCTTTGTCAGTTCTGTTCTGAACCCTGGCGGCAATCTGGTGAGCCATTGGCGCCACTTCTGGGGATGAATGTGAGTGATGACCGTCGAACCTTACACGTCCCGGTCCCTGTTCTCCGTTCTCTCCTTCGTCAACATTGCCAGGACCAAGAGGAGCCTGAACCAGACTATCTGCCATACACTCTGGTACTGCATTATAGTGCATGTGATCAGAACCACCCCAGATCCGGGATGGTTGTGGTGATACAGTTGAACCTGCAAGGTCCGTCCAGATGTGGCGGTGCTGGTTGTCGTCACTGACAGAGATAGAACCGCTTCCCTCAGCATAGATCGATCCTAGCTTCGCTGGCTCTCCGGTATGATTGCCAATGGTATCGACCGTCAGCGGCACAGTACCCCTGGGCCCCTTCTGAAGGTGTGTCTGAATGGGTTGCTGTTCGATGAGCCTGCAAATACCTTGCGACAGCCATTCGACCTGCGTTTTCAGTTCTTTGACCTCGGTCAAGATGGCAGGAAGTCCTATGCTGCCTTCAACCGATGGCGACAAGGATGACTCTGGGGATGAGAAAGAGCAGGTTGCCCTTGCGGCGACACAAGAGGAACAGGCTGGAAGTGAGCGAGAGCATTTTTTCTTTAGCCGTCGACATCGATGACATGGTGAGGCCGATGACTCTTCAGGGTCATCTTGTCGGATTTGGTTGTCACCGCCTTCTTTTCCTGGCCCCTCGAGTCGTGACTTCTTGGCTGTGGGATGTGACCACGGTCCGCTGTGTTCCTCATCGGACGTGTATCGAAGCCGGAAGCGACGGAAGGTTCCGCTGCCACCTACCTTCGCTGCAGCATTTTCCTGCATACGAAATGAACGCGAGGGCGACGGCGAGGGCGGCGACGACGATGGTGATGGTGCGGACGACGGCATCCCGAACGAGGTTTTCGTTCAGACCCGCCCAAGAAACGCGATCCTAGGACCAAGGGAAGAGCAATCAAGTCCACCAACTCGAAGCACCTGGCTTGCCTCCAAACCCACCAAATCTTCCATGTAGGACAAATGGCTTCTGTGTACTTTGATTGTATTCCACGCTCTATCAGCAGACCAGAAGATGCGAAGCTGGCGTTATGACTACCCCGCTTGCAGAGAGCAGCCCTCCCTCAGCCAATAGATGTAGTAAATGATTAGAGAACATCTAGGACTGAGGGTCAACGAGAAGGGTAGACTGGTCATTCAGCTGTGATGTGGTGGAAATGGTATTGTTGGTCTATAGTACAGATACACAAACTAGGTGGCCATCACGACATCGTCCCTCGTTCTGACGAATCACTTACTAGGTACTTAGGATTCCAATGTGCCGACTCTTATCAGCTCATTCTAATCGGGCTTGACTACAACATGTTCCCGGGGGCAATGACAACTTCTCATTTCTGCCAATGAATTCAAGTTGTTGCGCGAAGTCCTAAGCGCTGGCCGCCACTGAGAACCGAATACCGTGGTTAGCCGAGTCATATGCGTCAGCACTCACCCTACGATGGACGACCCATTTCTTCATCAGGATGAACAAGCGGTCAGTCGCATTGTGAAGTTCTTAGGTGTTGATGCTGACCTATAACCTATTTGTTATAGCGATACGATATTCTAGATCACCCTCAACAAATGACAAAGTACGGGAGGCATACCATTCCAGTTCCAATTCCCATTCCCTTTCCCTTTCCAACTCAAACTCAAACGTGTATGGTGTCTTTGGTGTCCTGGATTCTCAGCGTCTTCGAAAAGTGCTGCCTCTGGTGGAAGAACTTAACATCATCTTCCGTAAACAAGCGGCCTTCTTTCTCCGCCTTGATGCGGGCTCGCTTCACTCGGAGGACATCCCATTCCAGGTTCCGAGTTAGGTACCAATTCAAACAATTAAAGAGGAAGCACCCGGCGACCATGGCGGTACAGATGCCAAAGGACACTTTATATCCGCTCGCAGCGTACTTGGCCCGAAATGCCTGGGGACCTATGACTCCGCCGAGCTGGGCGAGGCCTGATTGTAAGCCCAACGCAAAGGCGGTGCCGGTCGTGCCACTCAATGAAGATGTTCGCCACGCCCAAACTGGGACGGCGAGCGCTTGTGCAGAGCCGACGCCCAAGATACATCCCGCATAGACGGCGCCGGGCCGCTTGGTGCCTATCAGAATGGCGTACATGGCAACCTCGAAGAGGAGGATACTCAGGGCCAAGAAGGGCCGGGGCACCCACGCCTTATTCAAGATGTAGGCCGCGATGATCACGAAGAGAATCGCACAGGCAGCTGGTGCGATATTCAGGAGCTGGTTCCGGGGAAGTCCGGCAAATCCCAGCTCGGTGGTGACGGTCGGCAAGATCCAATTCAGCCCATAAGCCCCGGTGGTCATACAGATCTAGGCGGTCCATGTTAGCTAAGAACTTGGTTGGGCCCGAGCAACTTGGCAATCAAGTTAGTGGGCGGAAATCACTCACCTGGGCGAACAAGAAAGTCCAAAGCTTGATGTCGGTGAAATTGTCGACGACCTCTTTCCAGGAGAAGGAGGCATCATGGGTCCTCGGCGCATTTTCCGTCAGTCGCAGGTCCATGAACTCTTGTTCCCGTGGGGTGAGCCATTTCGCCGTGCGTGGCGACTTTGGGTAGTCAGGATAGATAAAGTAGACAAGAAGGCCGAAGCCGATGGTCAATACTCCTTCAATTAAGAAAACCCTGGACCATTTTCCAAGCATCAGCTTCCTATCTTCTTCTCAAACGGCTGGATGGGAGAGCATATAAACGTACCACTGCCAGGAACTCAGACCGTGCTTCCCGTCGAGATACGAAATCCCATAGGCAAGTAGAGATCCAAGGATGCCAGCGAGATTGCCAATAGCGTATAGCCACATGATAGGCTTGGCCATCTCGTCACTGCGGTACCAGTTGCACAGGTGGGTGATGATACTTGGGTAGAGACCTGCCTCTGCGAGGCCGAGAAAGAATCTGGCAGCATAGAGACCTTCTTTGTTCTTGACCGCGGCATGGCATGCCATGACGAGACCCCAAAGAACGCAGATCCTGGTCTGGAAAGTCCGGGGAGTCATCCATTTCAGGAACAGGTTGCTGGGCAGCTCAAAGATGACATACGAGATCTGTCTCCTGTCAGCGGTGTCGCAGTTTCCCACCGTCAAGACCAGCCCCAGGGGCCTGTGGTAAGGTAGTGCAAAGTGCTGTACACTCACATAGTAGACTGATTGCACCCAGTTGTAGTCGTCGGGCGTCATATGTAGCTGCTTGAGAATATTGGTGGGCTTCCCGACCGCTAGAACCTTGACACTGGCGGCATTGTTCGAATCGATCTATCGCCTTGGTCAGTCAAGCTTCACATGGTACACGCAGAACCGAGACAAGGGAAGCCACTTGCCTGCTTGATCAGATACAGCATGCCGATGGTGACCAAGATCCGATAGTCGATCTTGCGTATGATCCTCTTCTGCTCTTCGGGGGTGAAGGTGTCCAGAAGAGCGACTTTGCGGTCGTCCACGGCGTCGGTGTGAGGCCGAACAGCAGGGACGTCTTCCTCGTCAGCAACTCTCTCGACCCTGGAGCCTTTCTCTGTCACGGTGGTGGCGCTTGTGAACTCGACCTCCCCATTTGACCCTGCGCTGGTGCCAGGAGGGGAAGGGTCTCGCTGCTGTTTCCAGGCTTTCAGGTCCCAGCCCCAGCCCATCTTGCTGTGCGATTGTACAGTCCAGGAGAGGTGGGTGTGGTGAACTCTGCGGTCAATCAATCAATCAATTGCATGGAGAGACACGAGATACTGGCAAAACCGCCCCTGGACAGCTTAGGCCTTTTATCGTCGTTAAGGCATGGCGGTCGTATCTCCCATGCAATGTCGCCATAATAGACACTGCTTGCGTTGGAAGCCGCCATGGCAGCTATAGAAGATGGTCAATAATTTTCAGGCATGTTCATGGGCAGCTCCCGAACTGCCCGGTCTCCAATCCCCCCATGGAGCAACGAGGCTTGTCCTCAACGAGCATTCCCGACCAGAGCGCCGTTTGATTGAGCCAAGAATACCCTGAATCAGGTTTAGGCAAAAAGATAGAAGATAGGCCCACGGCCCGGGTCGCGTCATATCACCGAGTTCCCGCCTACCGAGTACACTATAAACATGGTACATACCCCAAGCAGGACTGTGGTAGGCCCTCCGTCCTCCAGTGGACAGCGACATGTCGCGAGCGTCGCCGCCGGCCGAGAATTTCCCAATCAGGTAACCCGTACTTGAGGCGTCGTAGACCCGTCGCCGTTGCCGGCGCCGGCCATTCTACGATACACATCGATAAAGGGGGTTGGTCGTCACGCAATATCCAGAATCGGGAATAAAAAGTCGTGATGAAGACGTGCTGAGGTGTCTTTGTCTACCATCACATCCCACGACAACTCTCGGCCACATCCATCACCATCACCACCACCATTACTTTGACATGCCTTTAGAGGTTGCCATCATAGGAGGAGGCATTGCCGGCCTCACGCTCGCAGCGGCTCTTCAGCACAACCCGAACCTTCGAGTCAATATATACGAACGGGCGACCGAGCTCAAAGAGATAGGAGCTGTCATCGGGCTGGCTCCCAATGCACTACGGACGCTGGAGAAAATCGGGGTCGCCGACGTCCTGACGGATGCAGTGGGCTGGCGCAATCCGAACGGCATTCCAATGACATTTGCGTAAGTCAAGTTCCTGGTGCCTTTGCAAGGTACGGTATGACCGTTCCCGTTCCCGTCGATTCCGATGGCTGAAAACCAGGCCAAAACCAAAGCCATTACAAGACCGGGGAAGTCATCAGCCGAGATTTCTTTCGAAACGTACCGGATCGCCGTCATCACTTTGCGCGGATGCATCGAGCCAGGCTGCAGCAGGGTCTTCTCAAGCATGTTGCACCACATGTCATACATCTGGGCAAGAAGGTTGCGTCCGTGGCTGCTCATCGTGACCAAGGGGCCACGGTGACCTTCAGCGATGGCAGTACCATCAACACCGACGTCGTTATTGGGGCCGATGGAATCAAATCGGTGAGCACTATGCACTATTCGCGTATCGCTGTCTATTATGCCTGGGCCGACACTAAGCTTTCCTTGCGGCGCCGGGACAGAAAGTGAGGCAGTCTTTCGTGCCAAACCATACGTTGTCATGGACGGGGGATGTGGTGTTCCGCACTGTATTCAACTACTCTCTGGTCGAAGATATTCCCAATCTTCCTCAGAACTCTACGCATTTTGTGGGTTCGCCTTTCTCTGTTGGCTACAGGCTACACACTCCTAGGAGGCTGATTATGGATCGATCTAGACTAACGGGCTGGATTTCTTCTTTGCCACGAGAGCGGGTAAGTTGAGCACACGAAACCGCGCCGCTTACGAGTCTGTATCTGTGTCTGTGCTGAACGACCTCGACAGGGTCTGATCAATATGCGGTCACGGCCACCTTTATCGTCGACCCCAGAACAGATCACCAGTACAGCGAAACCGACTGGAACAAAAGTGCCAGTGTGGACACTCTCCGCGAACGCTACGCAGTTAGATTCTTCCTTCCTCTCCCTAGTGTTCGTGGTCCAGACTTCCGCTGACAATTCCCACTTCTCTGGGCCAGAGCTGGAATTCACTGGTCTTAGCAATCATCGACCGCATCCCATGGGTGCGTTCATACACCAATATAGCCGGCCGAGTACTTGACCAGTGGAGTTTCGAAGATCGAGTCACTCTGCTCGGCGATGCCGCTCACACTCATGGAGGAGCCTTCGCTGCGGGTGCCGCCTTGGCCATCGACGACGCCTATGCGCTAAGTCTGGCTTTTGAAGAGGTCTTCCCGTCGAGCGGTGGAATCGTTCCACAGAAGTCTGTCCCCGATCAGCTTCTTCGCGTTTTTGACTTGTACGAGGCCGTCCGAAAACCACATTCTTCGAAACTTTTAGCCATTGTTGAAGCGCACCGCCGCAACAATCTCTCTCAATTGGCCAAGAGGCGCAGCGGACACGGCGAGACCGACGAGGAATTCAGGAAAAGATACACGGCCCGCATGGACGCCACATGGTTGGCGGAACATGACGTTGAAGCCACCTTTCGAAAACATGTCGAGGTGGGAAATGTCGCAGGGAAAGGAAATAGTGCCACTGTCGAAGAGAAGATCACAACAGTGCCAGGGAAGGTCATTGTTGAAATCACCGAGGCCGAAGTTCACGTTCCGGCCAGGGCAACATTGTGAAAGGGGAACGCTGCATCAGGATTGAAAACTTGTAGACGGTGGGTGGCAAGATATTGAGTTTCGTGCTTGTCTTGCCAAACTTAGGCGCTAACTTAGGCATTCCCAGCCTTGTTCTTTAACCAGAAAGCTGGTATAGGCATACAGTACTATATAGTCTGGGCTCCCCCCATACCCCTTTGATAGCGAACAGGGAACATTTCAACCTTTGACATGTCTCGTGCCTCTTGTCTCTTTCTCACGCGTCTCGATCCACCTTGAGATCTCGCCATCGACGTTCCAATTCATTTTTTTAATCAAGGCACCTCCCTGACAGACGCCGAGGTGATGTACCTGAGTGACAAGATCTAGGATGCGCGTGGGGATGGTACCACCCCACAGGTCCAAACTCGAAATGACACACTCCACGTCCAGTAGATTGGTTTATGCAGCGATGGAATGCCACCCAAGCAGAGACATGGAACCAGAATAAATGTTATGCCACCGTGTCTTCAGCAGGCGGTAGATTACTGTATGTTCCTATGATGGGTGTTGCGGCAGCTCAGCCTTGCTAGGCACCAGGAATTCATGAAAGGTGAAAGGCACCAACCGGCCAGGCAGCACAATCTCCTCCAGTGCAGCCTTGGGAAACAAAATCCACTGCCCTCTATAAATTAGTATGTAGATGCCCAACATAACCCGACACAGACGCGGACACGGCAGCATAGGCAGCACAGCACAAGAAGTTGCACCGGCTGGAAAGCCAAAAAACAACCTCAACCTGGTGATTATATTGCCCCGGATAAGCGATCAGATTTATGTACAGTACGACCATAAGCCATGGCGCCTGGGCCTTCAACACCATCCTTATCTTCGACAACAGAGCCGACAACACCATCCTCCTCCTCGACAACAGAGCCGACTCCGCCTTTAGAGAGCGACCGACAGCCACCCACACTGGAGGCATACCTCGGTAGGCCAAGCGACGCACAGCCACCCCCGTTCCTCACATTACCCCTGGAGCTGCACCGACTGATCGTCAGAGAACTGAAGTATCCTGACCTGCTATCGCTGAAGCTCTCCCACCCGTACTTCCAAGGCATGATCGGCCTCCAACCGACGATCCACAGCCGGATTCAGTGGCTCATGAGCCGCTCGAGAATGGCTCTACCGGTGCCTCAAAGCACGGGGTTATCATTCCTCTCGGATGTCGCCTTCGTCGCAAATCCCGAGGTCAAGGGCATTATGAACAAGAGACGGCGCCACCATGATTGTCTCAAGTCCCAATCTGCTAGGGAGATGACGATCAAGACATTGGGGTGGCAGAAGGGCAGGACGTTCTGTTTCGTGCTGGAAGCCAGCTCTTGTCCTTGGATTCAAGGGACGTCTGGCAGACGCTTCAGCTGGGCTGTAGGCTCTTCTGTCATGGAGCTGCTGAGAACTTGGAAGGGAAATGCCCTTGCTTTGTTGGAGGAGTGGGTCTTGAGCAGGATTGGGGCCGTTGGAAGATTCATCCGTCGCTAGTATACTCATTGACACGGATGGCTTGCAGTACATCTTGGATAGGCGACTTATATGAGCGAGCCATCGATTTGTTGAAGAACCAACTGCTGTCCCATGCACGGGCAGCCCAGCCAGCTATGCTCCCTTTCTTCGGTTACTGTAGGCCAACCACGCCTGTCGCAGTGAGCGCTCGTTCTCCTCGTTCGCCTCTGTGACCATGGCCCGAGAATTTTCACGCAGGTGCTCGGCGCAATGACTCAAATCCCCCACCGCTGAGGACATGTCCAAGTATGGCCAGTCTTTTTTTCCTTCTCTGGAAATCTGACGGGCGATTTCTAAAGTATTCAGAGTCGAGTAAAGGATCGCACGGATCTGCCATATAATTTCTTGCGCAGGCTTATGATGGACTTCCTGCATGTTCTCGAGTAGCAACAAGTCTTTCTTTTGGCGGGCACGCTCCCTAGACCAGAACGGCAAGACATGATAGAAAGGCCGGCTTGTGAGATTGTGTTGGAGTTGCAAGATACCTTGTTGGCGGTAACCGTCTAGTAGATTCCAGCTGGTATCTAAACGCACAAAGTGTTTCTCAGAATCATCGCCTTCTCTGATAAGCATCTCGATCTGAGGAACCACCTCGTCCAGGTAAGTGGTCATGTCCTTCACGATGTCGTAACCAAGCCACACCGCCAGTGCCCCAGTTCGCGTGCCGCGCTCCTCGACTTGATAGGCCAGCGAATCCAAGTTCATAGAAATTGCTTCCATATGCACGGTAATGTTGTAGTAGAGTCTGTACAACGACCGTCCCAACTTTTTCGCATTTCTGGCATATTCTACCCCTGCCCTCGAAGCCGCCTCCTTGTCTTTAATCTTGCTGTGTCGTATGTCTTGTGCCACATCAAGGAGTCCGATTTCCATGCTGCGGAACTGGTTCGCCCATGGCAAGAGCTCGATTGCTGGCTCCTTGAGTTTGACCGTCTCAATATTCGCTTCGAGGATCGGGCCTATGGGTGTAGCAGAGGTATTTGTGTATTTGGGAAGATCATGACACGAGATGCCAGCGAGTTGCAAGGTCTTCGGTCCTCCAGGTACGGAGCATGCAGCCATCAAAGCAGGATGTGAAGAAAGAGCAATCATGACAGACAAGAAAGCCAGCAAGACAACAATCTTCAAGATAATGCCGAGCATGAAGGTTAACGGAGCCGAGACGATTGGAGAGGCGAGGGCTTCGAACAGCCATATGAAAGGATCTGCCAGCAGATTGAATAAACTTGTCACTTCTGTCCGTCTCCAGAGTCTCTCGTTAATGGAGATTCCAGCTTGGGTGGAGGCTTGAGAGCTGCTTTCTTGCTAGCATGTTGCTGAGGTGTTTTGGCTAGACTGGGCGGCTTCATGGCAGGTTCTGCTGTTGACTGAGGGACTGACTTCCGAATGCTTTCTTCTTTGTTCGATTTGTACTTGGGGGTTCGATGGCAACTGCAATTTCCCAGAACGCAGTTTCCTCTAATTGGCTCCGGTTCTTTCTTAGGGCTCGCCCAGCAAATTGCTCTGGGCTTGGGGCTCTCCTGGATTCTCGGTGTTGCGGGTGACACATTCGAAGAATTCGGGGACCCAGTCTTGAGAAGAATGTGGATAGGTGGCAACAGGGCTATCTACCATCTAGAACAACAATGTAATAAAGCAGCAACAGGGGCCCGGTGACAGTAACGTACCCTCGTGCTGCAGAGGCTGTTGCTTGAGTGCGAAATAGGACGTTGTGGGAAATGGCCTTTGTTAAGTCATTTCCTAGGGGAGATGACTACGGTTGTTTGTTTCCGTCGTTCACCAGGGCGGTTTCGTCAGGCAAGCCTCCAGGAATGTGTCTCAAACAGATGCAACCGTTCATCCATGTCAATCCGCATCAGTACCCGTTCAAGGCGGAGAACTGTACGATTTCACACCTGACCGCACTCACTGCATCAATAATAGACTGGATCCAATGCCTGGACCTGTACATATTGACTTGCGGAAAGAGGCATGATCTGGCGTCATCATCGATGTGCATCCTTCACCTTGGCGGGTAGATTCAATTCGGAGGTATACGCTCCTTTCCAGAATGGATGTCCTCCTTCAACCGTAGACATTTTGTAAGTAGAAGCAAAATAGCGACTGCTCGGGACCCTCAGGCACGCGGCCGTTGCCGTTGCCGGTGGAAGTTATCCTTGTAGTACTCCTAATTACTGTAGACATACTATCGGTGACTATTGTTCTGGCCCACCGGCAAACATATTCAAGACTGAGGTCGGGAAGATAGATGGACTATTGGATTGCATTAATAATCAAGCCACTCCACACTCCAGACTCCACCGGCAAACTGGGCAGCCTTGGCTTTGGCCCTCGCATAGAACATGAAGAGGAACTCTGTGATCGTTGATGCCCGTGCCATGGTTTCTCCGAGACTGATTTCCGTCTATCTGGTTAAACTAGGCTGGTTTCTTATAACGCGCAGTTGCACTTGATCAATCCACCGGCACCGGCGCCGACACCGGCACTCAGCGGAAGACGCACAAGCAGCCACTGTTATTCGAGGAGAGAACGATGCCGCCTACTCGAGCGCGCTTGGCTTGTGTCAGATGCAGGCGACAGAAGCTGAAAGTAAGTGTCCATGCACATGTGGCTGGCGTGTGGCTGTGATTCAACCCAATCCAATCCAATCGAATCCACGCACATAGGATAGACGAGTCGTTGTGATGCAGTGATGCAGCCGAGGAGGAAACCAGGAACAATCTAAATAGCTCGTTTTGTTGTCTCTGGTCCACTCCCCAGCTTTGTCTTTATCGTTGATGTCAAGGCTGAGACTAACCAGCCCTACGGTACTATAGTGTGATAACGAACGGCCCTGCGCCTTATGTGTTCGTTCTGGATTCCAGTGCGAGGACAGTCAGCGCTCTACTAGGTAGGGATCCCCTAGGTCCTAGGATGTGCATCTGTGGTGATGCGAGATATATCTGAGGCTGATGGTGATGGCATAGGAGACGTCCAGCCACATCAACATCAGGGAGCAAGTCGACCGGGATCCGGACCGGGACCAGGACCAGGAATTCAGCCCCGGGCCAGGACCAGAGCAGCAAACGAGCCAGAACCAGGCTCGTGGATGGACGAGCAACTCCCACGCCGTCCGCGTCCGTTCCAAGCGACAGGGATGTGCTCTTTGCCAGCACCGACACCACTGCCGACACGGTCTCGCCTATTAACACCAACACCAACACCACCACGTCGCAAGCTAGATGGCAGAACGGAGAGGGCCCGAGCTTGAGTTTGAATTGTGATAGATCATCCAGCTTCGGGCTGGCCGACCAGGTGGGTTGGGTGTTTGACAGATGAAGCGCTCCTCTCCTTGTTGGCACACTGCACAATGCACACTACACATTGCACACTACACACTGCACACTACACACTACACACTACACACTACACACTACACACTACACACTACACACTACACACTACACACTACACACTACACACTATTCTCCTTCGTCCTAGTTCAAGCTGGTGACGAGAAACTAATAATATATGTGACATACTACAGCTCATCAAGACCTACGATTCCGAGTCTGGCAGATTGGACGATGCTGATGCCATTCCCGGCGGGACCGAGACCGGGACACCGTCTGGCTCTGAGCGAGATCAGTTTCAGTTTCAGTCCCAGTCTCGGTCTCAGTCTCAGTCTCAGGTTCACCGAAGCCAAATCGAAGTCGACGAGCGCGTACGCATCTCCGACCTACTGGGATGCCCTCTGCCTCCTGCTCCAGTCACCTGGATGTTGTTCGACACCTATATCCGCTCCGTGCACTGGTTTATGATGGTGGTCTATGAGTCTTCCCTGCGAGCCGAGCTGGCCGAGATGCTGAGATCCGGCCGCGCCCACCGTGGTCAGAAGTGCGTCTTGTATCTCATCGCGGTGATTCTCGCCATTGGCGCCGGATATGCTCGGGACGAATCAGAGGTTCACGTTGACGGTCAGGGCCATGGTCATGGAAAAGGTCACCCTCATGATAAATTGCCTGACGTCGACGTCAACATCGACCTCACCAAGTTACAGTCACGCCTTATCCAGACCGTCGAGGCCAATTTCTTGGACATGATCGATGTGGCCAGTGTGGCCTCGGTGCAGACGTGTATCCTACTGAGTTCATTTTACCTGTACAGCCACCGACCGAAACCGAAACCGAAGCGTTGTTTCATCATCAACGGCGCCGCCTTGAGAGCAGCCCAGGTGTTGGGTCTGCATCGAGAGTCGACCTGGGGCGCCATCAGCACGGTCGAAAGGGAAGTGCGCCGACGGGTCTGGTGGGCGTTGTATGTGTGCGACGGGTCAGTACTGCCAATACCCTTCCATGTTGCCATGTTACCATGCACCTGCCATGAACCTGTCACGCACCTGCCACGCACCTATCTATCTTTTACTTCTTCTTACCATGCACCTACCATGCACCTATCTATCTTTGATTTCTCCTTACCAAGCTCCCGCGGGCTGACCGGATCACACTGACGCTGACGCTGGGTATTATCTATCTAGGTTCATGGCGTTGACGTTTGGAAGCTGCTCTTGCATCCAAGACAACAGTTTCGCGGTCCAGATGCCTCGCAACATCGACGACACGTCCGACCCATGTCCCGGATTCGAGTCGGTTGAGAATGAGCAGTTCGAAGATGGAACCTGCGATCGCGTCACCACCCTGACATATCACAGACTCAAATTCAAGCTGTACCGCATCGGCTCTTCGATCACCCGAGACGTCTATTTCCACGAGAGCCGGACCCGGCGGTCCATGGCCGAGAGGGTGAAGAAAGCCCATCGAGCCCTGCTCGAGTGGGAAGAAAGTGTGCCGCTGGAATTGAGACCGAGCACGTTTCTTGGCAGAGACGGAGACAGAGGCAGAGGCAGAGACAGGCCAGGAGTGTCAGAGGCGGAGTCGGAGTCGGACCTGGATGCAAGGGCGTCCAGGTCCACTACCACTACCACCATCTTCCGTCTGCAAGCACTCTCCCTGCAGCTGTCGTACGACAGTATCCAAGTGAGTCTCCACAAGCCACTTTTGGTGTACAGCAAGATCCCAGGGGTGCCGGTGAGAGATGGAGAGACCTACTTGCCGGCTGGGGTGGGAATGGGGGTGGAGGTAGGGGTGGAGGTAGAGGCGGAAGGCCAGCACATCGACCTCGAAGAAAGCAGAGACCAATGCCTCCGGTCGGCCATGCGCACTTCTCGAATGGACGAATACCCAGCCACGCTCCGACAGGCGCGAAACACCCATGTGGCCGGATACATTGCGATCCAGGGCTTCGGGGCCGGAGTCATGCTGGTCATCTTCGCGCTGTCGCAGCCGTTGTCGGCCGCGGCCCAGGAGGCCAAGCAGGGACTCGGCCGACTGATCAAATTGCCCAACCACTTTGGCTGCTCGACCGCCATCCTCGAACAGAGCGGCCGTATCTTGGAGAAATTGCTCAGAGTCATCCTGGCCCAAGAGCTGAGACTGTTGACTACGGCGGACGAGGGGCGAGAGGTCGATATTCCTCTCAGGCGGTTCAGTCGGGCTAGGGCTGCAACAGTTACGCAGGGGGGTATACCTGCCGCAGCAGTGACTCAGGGCGCAGGGGGTGCAGCAGCAATCACCCAGAGGGCAGGGAGTGGTTTGGTAACGAATGCAAATGCAACTTCAGCAAGGGCAATGGCAATGACAGTGGCCAGTGGCACGACCACGACCGCGAATGTATCAGCGCCCTTGACCTCCACCTCCACCTCTACAATCGGTGCAGCGACCCACGCTGCTTTCCCGCCGGAGAGCTGCTTGCATAGTCTTCATGACGACCTTAACTTCGACTTTGGCCCTTCCTCAACCTCAACCTTTCCTCAGCCGTGCTCCCACGACTGGGAGGGTGTGTCGCTCCACAATCACAGTCACAATCATAGTCACAGTCAGCAACCCACCAGCACTGGCACTGGCACCGGTACCGGTACTGGCGTATCAGACTATTGGACTTGGTCTCGGACTCGGACACCGAGTCAATACGACACATTTCATGGCGGCAGTATTCTCGGCTTGCTGGAAGACCCGGGACAATCTTGGTTATGGGATGACTCGTTCGTCACGTAATGGCAATGGTTATGCTAATGGTTATGGTAATGTAATGAACCAACCACCCTAACCCTGACCCCGCAGACGTAGACGCAGATGTAGAGGTCTCTAGAGATACTACAGATTCCACTGCAGCCTGCAGGGGTTGAGTCCACTGGACTTGACCTAGGGATAGTGAGTGGGCAGAGTCTTACGGGCGGACACGCACACGCACACGCACACGCAGACACAGACACAGACACAGACACAGATACAAGCGAGATGGCGCTGTCCTGACAGAGATGAGGAGATGATGAATGGAATTCTACGAAGCGTTATCAAAGCAGTAGTAGCATTGATGTATTTCATCGGTGATTGATGTCCACACACAGCATAGGTTCGAGTTCGGGTTCGGGTCTACTATAGATGCCATGGCGGTACCAAGAGCCTTCTCTTCTCATCTTCATCTTCTCATCTTCTCATCCTATCTTCTCATCTTCTATACGCTCCACTTGTTTGCCTCATTGACGTCGGCAGCAACCGCTATTTTCGACGCTCTCACAAACTGTTCCGACTTCTCCTCCGCGGCGAGGCGATATGTGTTTCGGTAGACTTGATACCCCTCGTGGAACAAGGACTTTTTGTCGGACCAGCCCGTGTCTCGGCGCAGCTTGTCGGAGCCGACCCACTGCGGGAAGTCGAAAAAGGCCTTGAGAAATGTAGTGTTCGACCCGGACGCGGCGTCCCCGTACGACACTTTGACGCCCTCGACCCGTTCCACCACGGCCACGATCTCGGCCAGCGTCTCGTAGCGGTGGGCGGAGATGTTGTAGGCCTGGCCTGCCACGATGTGGCGGGGCGCCGTCGCCAGTGCCACGTACGCGGCGCCCACGTCGTCGATATGGGTGCCGTGCAAGATGGACGTGGGCGTGGAAGGGATGGTCACGACCCTCGTCCCGTCGGGTTGCGTCTTGGCTTGGTCCAGCACTTGGAACAGCTGTGAGTAGAAGCTGCTAGAACGGCCGTAGAGCGTGGTTGGCCGCGTGACGACACAGTCGAATTCGTCCGTGTACGCGGTCAGGATGTGGACGCCCGACTCGCAGCGCGGCACCAGGATGGGCGGCGGCCTGAGAGGGCTTTCTTCCGTGTGCGGGGCCAGCCCGGCTTCACCGTGGCGCAACGTCGTGCCGTAGTCTTTGCACCCGCTGGTGAAGATGACTAGAGGTTTGCCGGCCCCCTGGGCCTTGGAACGCGCACTGACCTGCTTGATCAGGGCCAGCACGTCGTTGAAGTGAGCCTGGTAGTGGACGAGGTCTTCGGAACATGTCGCGATCACGTCGATCGCCGGCAGTGTCGAGATGAAAGTGGACGGGTCGGCCGGGCTGCCGATGATTGGGGTCACTTCCTCCCTGATCAGGTCGGCCGCACTCCGCTCGCTGCGGATCAGCCCGTACGTCGTCCATCCTGCCAAAGAAAAGGCTCGGCATGCAGCAGAGCCGATGAAGCCGTTGGCCCCGGTGACCAAGACGGTTTTGGGCGCCATGGTATAGTAAGGAGTAAGTGGTAAAGCTGTACAGTAATAGAGAAGACTGGGAGGGGAATGTCTCAAACAGTTAAGGATGGGAGTGGGAGTGGGAGATAGAACGAGAATACAACTCGAGGTGCTTGCCCACGAGATTTATAGAGTTGAGACGTCGGTAACTCACAGGTATAGACAATCTAACTGTTACCTTTATAACCCACCGGAATAGTGGTTTAGTGGGTTAGTAATTAATGTCTCGCTCACGGACCCCTTTAAAATGCCGGTGGCATTAACGAGGCTGCTCCCGGTGGGATTTCGAGAAGGGACGTCTAGGAAAGACGAACGTCATGCGTCCTACCATAAAGTGGTGGTGATTGCTAGTCCAGAGGGAGCCACCGGACGTTGATGATTGACCTGCATAGATCGACGATAGCTCAGTTTAGATGTAGATGCCATTGTTGTGGAAGAAACAGCCTTAGAATCAAGATCAAGGTCAATTCTGGATCTGGTGGAATTACTAATACAAAAATTATACAAGGTCACGTGCAGAATACAGTTTCACGTGATATGGCATGGCATCAGGGCCTATAGTACTAGTAGGTCGGTCGTACGGTGACTGCGTCCATATACGGATACTTCATACTACTCAGTCTTAGGGTTATGGTTAGGTACTCTGTCCGTGTAAGAGCAGATGTTCAGACAACCTTTCGCAGGAGCGTGGCTTAAAGCGGCGGGGCGATATTTCACGTGATCCAACGAGCGAGAGGAAATCCATCCCCGCCGCAGCCTTGCAATGTTCACTACACTTACGGATACACTGCGCCATCTCACCAAACTCACACCCTGGCGTCGCCTCCGTTTTCGTCTAGTTACTCCATACGTACGGAGTATCTAGGTAGGCACCAACCTCAAGCGGTCACTAACTCGTAGTAAGGCAAGGGAAGGGAAGGCCAGGATCTCTATGGGTTGATCCCGGCACGACAATCCTTGCTCCGAGTGATCAGTGATCGAGCCCTTTGGAAGCGACTCACTTCGAGCGTGATGTGACGAGACGATGCATCCATCATTGGTCCCTTGAAAAAGCCCAAGCCCAAATAAAAGCCGGGCCCAAGCCCATGCCCAAGCAAAAGTCCGCACCAACCCACCGCCAACGCCCACCGACACGACATCCACCATGCCTCTCCATCTCCTTGGCAAAAAGTCATGGAATGTGTACAATCCAGCCAACATCGAGCGCGTGAAGCGCGACGAGGCTGAGGCGGCAAGACGGGCCTCGGAGCAAGAAAAGAGGGCATTGCAAGACGAAGCGGATGAGCGGATCCGACTGTTACAAGGTCAAGGCCAAGGCCAAGGCAAACCGGGAGACACAGGGCGGCAGCTCCATGCGTTGGACGAAGAGCAAGAGCATGGAAGTGCGTTGGACCAGGGATCTGGAGCAAACACAAACGCCGGCGCAGGGATACATACAAGTACAAGTACACCTCAACTTCGAATCCAGAAGCGTCGACTGGCAGGTGAAGATGACACGGACCGAGATATTCGAATTGCGCGCGAGACCCAGGTGGCCTCCTATTCGTCTACGGTGGGGCCGTCAATGACATCGACATCGACATCGACATCCACACTCAAACGTCAGCGTCTGGACACAGAGGACTATTCGATCGTCGATGCGAAGGGGAATATCTCACTGATCCCGGTTCCGGCCCCGACGCGAGACCAGGAATTCAAGAAACCGCAGATCGACGAAGACCCGTATACGGTGTATTTGTCACATGCTCTGGGCAAAGGGAAAGGCAAAGGGTCGGATCAACCGTGGTACAGTTCTGGGCTGGGGGGGAACAGTCTGGGCGGAAACGGTGTGGGCAGAAATGGTCTGATCGGTGTCAATGACGACAAGGAAAAGGAAACAGAAACGAACCCGGCAAGGGAACGATCACGATCACGAGACCGATGGGGCCAAGACACCCCCCGCCGACGGGAACGCGATGCCGCGCGCATAGCCGCCGCCGATCCTCTCGCCTCCATCAAGAAGGGGGTCAAGCAGCTACGCGAAGCGGAGAGGAGGCGCGCCGAGTGGAGAGAGCAGCGCGAGAGGGATCTTCGGGAGGTAGAGGATCTGGCGCGGTTGGCTGGTAGAACAAAGAGACGGAGTGGGAGAGGGAGAGGGCGGGAGGAAGAAGATGGTCTTTATGGTGGGAGAGGGCGGGGGGAAGGGGATGGTCTTCACGGTGAAGTCCGGCGGAGGAGAAAGCGACATGGGCTGCATGAGGATGAGCGTGAGCGTGAGCGTCAAGATGATCCAGTGCATAGCCGGGACAGGCGAGATAGGGACAGGCGCAGGGAGAATCGTGGCAATGCCAGTGGCAGTGGCAGAAAGGATCCGGATCCGGATCCAGATGAGGATGATGACGAGGATAGTATCGAAGGGTTCAACCTCGACGAGGGATACTCTAGGTCTCGAGACCGCGACCGCGACCGCGATCGCGACCACAACGAAGACCGTGACCATGACATGGAGGAAAGGAGCATGGAGGAAAGGAACATAGAGGAAAGACGCCATCACGCCCAGCAGGACCATCATGAGCGCCATCACCATCGCCATCGTCATCGTCATCACCACCGTCACGGCCACAGCAATAGCCACAGCCATCGTCAGCGTGAACGCGAACGCGGACGTGAACGCGAACGCGGACGTGAACGTGAACCTGGATTTCGATCTGAATGAGAACCTGACCATGGCTATGGCTATGGCGTTGACCATAGCTATGATTATGAAAATAAATATGATTATGACCATGGCCATGACCGTGATAGTCTTGGAAGCCTTGAGCAAGACTGAACGAATGATTGAACGAACGAATGACTAAAGAACTGAAGAACAAGCTGTCTACTATTTATTTATATTTATATCCTTATCCCTCTGTGCTCTATGCTCTGCAGTCTCCGTCCTCCAACCTCCAGCCTCACTCTATCAGAGTATTGAAATACTTTAATTTAGTGTAGATCTGTAGATTACAGTAATCTAATTCGATTTAATTGACTTGATTTGATTTAATTATTCCGCACCTTTACTTATCCTCCAGGTTCAGGTATCCTAATCATGCTATTCTAACTCTGACTCTAACCCTGACCCTGGCTCTGATTCTAACTCTGACTGTAATTGAATAGTCTAGATGTAGCATGAACCGACTGACTAACTAAATCAACTAACTAACTAACTAACAAACAAACAAACCAAAAGAACGAAACGAACGAAACGAGGAAAGAAACAAACAACAACGATATCCAACGTAAGTTCAGATGAACGCAGCAAGCATGATCCTGATCCTGATCCAGATCCTGATCCCATTCTCGACCTCCTATCATCCGAATACTCACCGCACCACTCACCACTCACCACCTTCCTCGACCGATAATTCCTGTTGTTTCTCGACCGACAATTCCTGTCTCCACCGAGAAACGCGGTGCTCTCTCCTTTCCACGCTCGACACCACATCACACATCACATGCGCCTCCTGGCCTTCTTTGACCAAGATCCGCTTCGACTTGGGATGATGATGCGCAGTGGGAATCCAAGATGATAGAATGGGATGACTAGACTGGACTGCCGTCGATCATTCGTCAAACCCAGCATCCAAGTACACCTCGTCAAAGTCGGCCTCAGTCTCACTCTCAGTCTCTTCGTCCATGGTGATATCATCCTCCGTCTCGTCTTCCTCCCCTGCAGAATTCATCCGCATCTGCATCAGACTGTCGACGTAGGCTGGTAGCGACCGGTACTCGAGAACACGGACGCCTTCACGAGTGCGGTGTTCGGACGGAGCTGTTTGGGCGTGCGCGTGCAAGTGCAAGTCCTCGTCCAAGTCCTCGTCGTCGTCGTAGTTCGAGCCTTCCTCCGTGTGAGAGTCCCACTCTAGAGGGCTGGCGAAGTCGTTCTGTGCTGCCCAGGTCACGCTGCGCTTGGCGTTGTGAGCGTGGGACTTGGGTGTGCGGGCGGTTTCTGTTGTCGGGCCACGAGCAGCCTCGTTCTCGACGAATCGCTGCAAAAGCGCGTCAAAGGCATTGTCGGCGTGGCGCGCCTGTCTCTGCCGTTGCTGGAGACCACCGTAGACAAATGGACTGGTGCTGGAAGTCCGGGCCTTTGAACTACCTCGTGTGGCACCGCGACCAGCGCGACCGCTCACTGCTCCACGGCGTCTGGGGGCGGCCTGCTTTCTGGCAGCGGTCTTGGTGGCGGCGGTCTTCGCAGCAGCGGCCTTCGTAGCAGCAGTCTTCGTAGCGGCAGTCTTCGTAGCGGCGGTCTTGGTTGCCGCTTTCTTAGTAGCGGCAATTTTGGTGGCAGCGGCCTTCGTAGCAGCGGTCTTGGTGGCGGCAGTCTTCGTAGCAGCAGTTTTGGGGGCAGCTTTCTTAGTGGCAGCGGTCTTGACAGTCCGCTGCTGCTTGGCCGGGGGAGCGTCTCCGTCGTCTCCATCACCAGGGGATTTGCTTTTACTCTTCGAAGGGCCTCGCGCAGGCCGAGGACTTCGACCTTCGTTGTCACCGGCCGCTGTCGTCGTATCATCCACAGGGGCTCGTTTGCGCTTGCCACCAATGGGGTTGGATGGCGGCGTTTTGCTTTTGCTCTTGGACGAGCCTCGCCCAGACCGACTCCGTCGACCTCCGTTGCTACCGGTACCTGTCGTGGTGGCATCGGCACCGGCACCGGCACCAACAGAAGTGTGGCTGTCGCTTGTCTCTGCTGGCTCCCTGCGAATGTACACCGTAGCCCCGTCATCCAATTTACTAAGAGCGATCGTTGTATCCTCGGTGTTTGTATTCGTGGGCAGCTTGTCGTCCAGCACAAAGCGGGGAAACTCGACCTTGAGACCTTGGACTCGTGCAGAGATCATCATGGACATCTGGCCTGGAGCTGGGTTCTCTGCCGTGGTGATTTCGAAAAACGAACCGTCATCAACCACGAGTTCGTCGTCGTCGTCGTCGTCGTCATCATCATTGCCAACTTGAGCCCACATTCTTTCTTCCCAGTCTTTTTGATCGACAATCTTTTCATAAAGCAGAACATACGGAGTCCAGCCCTTATCTTGCCGATTAACCGTGCTTTTCAGACTTGTCGGCTTCACGTCAGTATCGTTGATGGTGAAAGATCTTCCGTCGATGAAGACCTGGTTGGTATAGTGGCCCACGCTCCTGGTCCCCAGGTGATTGACAATTGCCTTGAGTCGATACTTGGTCGGCCCCTTGGGTTGGGCGGTGCCGCGGTGTTCAAGAAACGGACCCAGATTGAGAGTCTCACCGAGCTTCACTTTTGTCGTATCCTTGTCATAGGCCTCGCCTCGATGGCGGCTGGGGTTGTGCCGGAAGCGTGTGAGAGACAGGATCAAGACTTCAGGGAGCTGGCAGATCTGTCTGCGAACGGGTGTGCGGTGGCTGGCTAGACCGTCCAGTTCGGCCTGGTTCTGCTGTTCGGCATGGGCCTTCGCCTGTGCATCGTCTCCCGTAGCATCCAGTCGGTTCTGATGCGTTTGGTCGATGATGTACGGTCGGCATAGCTCGCAGAGCCAGCCTTCCTGTTCGCCCCGGGCATCTTTATAGATCAAAGATTCCAAAGCCACTGGGGCGGTGTTCTGTGCAGTCGGGGTTGATCTGGTGCTGCTTCTTCCTGCCCTCGGGGACGGCGATTTCGCTTCGGCGTTGTCGCTTGCCGATAGCTTTCCAATTGCAAGAGGCCAGACGGTCATTTTGTTCAGTGTTGCAATGCGCGTCATGGTGGGCAGACCTTCAAGAATGCCGCACATATTACAGCGGATACGCACAGTCTGGGAGACCGAGGTCATTTCGTCGATGGTTGTGCTCTTCAAGTCTTTCGCCTGGTCTTCGTCCAGTAAGCTGCGATACGAGCGACAGTTGTTAGCATGCATCATCTACCGATTTGGCCGGATACTTACCCTGCTTGTTGGAGCGTCGCACACAATTCGCCCAACTCGTCCTCAGCAATATCTGTAAGCCAACCTAGGAACTCGGTGGCGTCTTGCTGGCTGCCTGCACTCCATTCCGTGTCTCTCCCCTTGATTTTGGACTCGAAATGGTTCCAGAAGGCCTTCAGGGCATTGTTGAGTGCGTTGGTCTCCGGGTCGGTCCAATAGACGTCGGCGAGCTTGCTGAGCTCACACCAAACATCGGTATACGGGATGCCCTCCGCATTCTCGGCTGCTTCTTCGTCAGAGTCTTCGTCAACGACAGTCTTTGCCTCGACCTGGGTCTCTATTCGGACACCGGCGGCTATTAGCCTAGGTATGTATCTGACTTGGATCCAGTTCAAGATTCTTTTGCTTGAGAGCAACATGACAACAACCGCATTGCGGTAGCAGACCCAATCGCCAGGATTGGTAAACCCTCGGGGAGCCAGGGTGCGTCTCATACTATTTCGAGCTGCTGTTGTGGCTTCATCTGGGATTTGGGCTGGCAGGTCGAAGTCGGGCCCGGTAGACGTTGCTGGGCTGATCTCTCTGGCAGTGGTTGTTGGCGCCGTTGGATTGCTGGGCTGGTTTGCGCCGTTGTTGGCGGCGGCTCTCGGTGACACCATGGTAATCAACGGGGCAGGTCGACAATGAACGACAGTAGTAAAAGAGTCTCGGTCGAGAAAGCAACAAAACAAGTCAGAGTCGACAGAGAGAGTGCACGCATTAATGTGAACAGAGATGAGCTAGGAAGACAAGCGTGGTTGAACGAGCATAAAAGGATCTTTATTGCCATGGCCTCCAGACGCTTTCGTCGACGCTGAACAGGTTTGGACATGATGAACAATGACCTACAAGAAAAACGGGAGCAAAGGCCGGAAACGGTCAGTCTGGTACCAGCGCCACGGACACAACAAACTGGGCGGGTGGTGCTGAGGCCGGCGTGCTCTAGGCGCCCACAGAGAAACCAAGTTCGAGAAGTCGCGTGTGCGAGTGTAAAATCCGAACGCGGAAATGCTGTAGCATGAGCGACAATCAAGTCTCGTTGGTACCGTCGAGAGTCGAGAGTCGAGATTCGCAGCAGGCGAGGCTGAGAGCAAGTCAACGTCACGTGCCTGCATTCCGTGAGCATCAACAAACAAAGTGCAAGGTTTGTGGCATCCATAACTCCTCCCCTCGATCCCGATCTAGGGCCATGTTCGGTATAGGGATTGTTCGTACGGACTGACTGACAATCTGACATCGTTGGACCTATCCACCACTCAACGAGGCCAGAAAGAAACGCACGATCGTTGTCATGTTCAGGACCAAAGTCATGAGCATGGAAAGTAAGGTCTCGCCGTCAAACCCATAGGAACAGTGTACATAGTCTCCAGGTGTCTGGCCTTGAGTCCACAGGTACTTAGCGGTGTCAATCCCTCTCCTGCTGGTTGCGTCGTAGGTGTCGGAACCCCAGACAAAGGGCGGTCGCCGCGTTCGGCCATGGCCAGTGCGCTGCCCTTCCCTCCCGGTATTGGCATCATCCCTTTCATGCTGCTTCAGAGGCGGCGAAGCTCTGTCCATCTTAAGACCACTTTTGCAGTCCGTGCCAAAGGTGTTCTTGTGGGTACATTCGATCTCTAGTTGCTTTGTGAGGAGACAGAGTGTGGTGAGGTGCGTGATGACCAACGAGCCATAAGCACTTTGAGTTGTACTAACACTAAACTCCGATAAAGGCAGGTATGGCGAGAGGCTCCTTATCCCCTTTCTAGTGCAGCCTTCTGAGTCTTAGCCCACCTAGAGCCTACCTAGTAGGGGCACATATAGCTGCTTCCCCTTGTCTGCATGCTGTAGAGTCACAGAGTGTATCCGTACATTACAAAATGTCGTATTTCAGCCTTCACTATCTGATCACATTCCATGTGTTGCCATCATCATTGTCATCAGCCTCTCTCGGTGACTCGTAGTCAGTCCAGACCCCTCCACCCCAATCAGAATCCACCACTTCGCCATCCTTGTGATGTCGTCCCGATGGTCCCGATGCTTCCTGCACGTCGCCTTCCATCGCCGTCGAGGTTCAGTTTACTCAAAACTTCCGTGGGAATGGTCGGTATATATTTCTGTGCTCGTTCCCGATTCACGCCGCCAATGCCCGCCCCATACGTGATCAGCATGTCAGTCGAGGTTGGCAGTGAGAATGGAAGCATCAAAGTCTGGTCCAAGTTCAAGGCATTTCGTCGCAGCGGTGGATCAGTGTCGGATTCCACAGGAGACGATGTCGGTGGCGCCGATGCGCCTTGAGGGGTAGCCGGACTCTGATGGTCCTGACCAGATGCCCCATTCTGCCCAGTTGATGTGGCTGTATCTGATCCTGGGGCATCGACCACTGGCGTCCGAGGTCTGTGGATCAACGACTGCTGGCCTCTTTGTAGCTGCACCAAGAACTTCATATGCGCTTTGGGTAGGCGTTTCTCCCCCACCTCGGCCCTATAGTTCTTCACGGCGTGGATCAATTGCGTCGGAGTGAGTCGTTGCAGTTGAACCAACGTTGCCACCAAAGACTCTTGGTCTTCGCCAAGCGAACTAAAACACTGCAGCCATTGAAGCAGCTGAATGATCGGAGCCAGGTGTCGCCGAGCGGCGTCTACAGTGTTTTCTCCCGTAGAAATGGTCGATCCATTTTCGTAGTGTTCGGGTTGCCGGTTATTCGCACGCGCCCAGTCTTCGATTGCCGACACATTCATGCGAATCTGCATGGCCTTGGTTCTTGACAGGTATTTTCTCGTGTTCATAACACGGTTGAACAGTTCTGCTCCAATCCAATATAAGAGCTGAGATAAAATCTGGGCTGTGATCACAGAGTGAATGTCATAGAGATCCAGCACAAACAAGGTCGAAGAGAGGAGGGAGGTGATGTTTCGTGGTGAGGTCTGGGCTCGTCGCTTCGGCGAAGGAGGCCGAAATCGTTTCTCTGGCGGCTCTTCTTTCGCTTTCGATTTCGATTTGAACACTTTCCACTCGCCCTGAAAGGCAATGTCGTCCAGCCCAGGGATGGTCTCGTGATCTAGCATGGCCACGTCCAGGACTTTGTTCATCCTCCTTTCAGCATCCCGAATGATGAGAATGTACGTCTCATTGATCAGTTCAGCCAATTCGAGCTGATACTTGGATGTCGCCTCAACGAGGCCGGCGTCCTTTTTGAGGTAATGAAGCAACAATGTCGCGTTCGAAATCCAGAAAGCGAGCATGGTCATGTCCCATTGATGACGCTCGATCACGTCGTTGATCAGGTCCAGCGCTTTCGTCAAGACTTCGTCTAACAGAGAGGCAGTCATATGATAATGGGCGTAGCGGGCCATTAAGAAGATGAGATTGGCCGGCACCGGTTTCTGTGAGGGCGATCGCTGAGGGGTCATGTTGGTGATGATGAGGTCAAAAATGGCGTCGAGCTTGTCCGCCTGGAAGACGAACATTTGGTCCCCGATGCAACGATCCCAGACAAACTCTTCTTCGGTTTCAAACTCAATGGGCGACTAAAACTGTTAACAAGAGACCGTTGGACACCTGCTCGGGCTCAGACATACCTCTGGCTGTTCATCAAACCCCAAGGTTGACAGGTCGACCTCCAGGTTGGCGGCGCTCTCCTGCATCATCATGCGCCGCTTCAGTTCATTTTCCGCCATCTCCTCTTCAAACCGATCCTGCGAGAAGCCAGAGTTATAGAAGTCGCCTTCTAAGCTTGAAACTCCGAAGTGATAGCCATTTTCATGGAGATAATGTGACAAGTCAGATCCTGGTTGAAGGAAGTCCAGCGCTGTGCCGCCCGAAGAGGATTTGATGTCAGGATTGGCTCCATGGTCGAGAAGGAGTTTGGCAATTTGTTTATGACGGTTGGTCATTGCCCACATCAGTGCACTCCACTGATTTCGGTCCTGCTGGTCCACCAGGGCTCCCGCGTCCAACAGCGCAGCCACAACTTCATAGTGGCCCTGGATTGTGTCAGCTAGGCCGTGCACACCGAGTCTCGGGCTCTCTTACGAAGCAACTGGCGTAGATCAAAGGGACCGTTCCCTCCTCGTCCGGCTGGTTGACATCCACAAACTCCTTGGCCCTTCCTCCAACCAGCTTTTGTATTCGTGCCACATCTCCGTTGCTCGCGGCCATGTTAAGGCTTTTCTGCAGGATCTCCTTCTTGTCACTAGCAGAGAGCTTCTCGTCTGTGGCAATGGCGTCCTCGTCTTGCCCTGGACTTCCATCTTCTCTGTGATGAGCCTGAGCGGCGACCATTTCCATCAGCCGGGAATCACTATCCTGTATTCGGGTGTACGTCTCTTCATCGTCGTAGGCTGGGGTGTCTAGATGAAGGTCGAACGGGAGCGGCCGTGCCGGAGTAGGTGCAGTGATATATTGGGATGAGCCTATGACAGGTACGGGAGTCGTGTCAGTGGTCTGTAGACGATCCACGAGACGACGGGTCGCGGTAGGCCCTCACCTTGCCAACCATCGTATATCTCGGTCCCTCCACTATATTCGGGCAGGGCACGGCGGTCATCCAGAGAGGTCGGCAGGTCAACTGGCAGCTTGCGCGGTACCTGTGGCGAGGGTGAGAGAGAGCCGTTGGGGGAAGCTGGCTCCTGGAGATCCATGTTGTCGGCTACGCGGCGAATGGGTGGGATCTGGGCTCATGTCGCGAGAGCGCAGCCCAAGCAAGCATGAGTTGGCCTGGTCTCCAAACTTCAACGAGGCTTTAGCCTGCGACCATCGTGAAGACAACGAGATTGCTGTGGGCGCCAACCTGTCCAGAATCGAGGACAGCCGGCAGTCAAGTCGCAGGTTGGCGTCGGTGACAGCGGTGCCTCCGCCCGCCGTGTCTCGCAGCGTCCCTTCAATTGTTCGCGTGCTTGGCGGATCAAGCAATGGTGCACCCTGATCATGCCGCTTTTACACCCGCTCACCTCGACGCTCACTTCGCCGCTCACCCTTTGATAATCCAGCCTGGGACCAAGCTATGGTCGATATTGTCTCATTTCTATAAGCACGTGAATATAGGAGGCGGCCATGGCCAAGTTGCCATAAGTGAGGTGTAGACCATGCACAGGTCTGCAGCCTCGCCCGACATGGAAAGCTGGATATTAGAGCGACTACCAATAACTTGTATATGTATGTATACTCGACAGGCTCTCAATTCGACTCCGGTCCAATACCGAATCATGATGCATATTCCAGGAATGCCCAAAGATTACTTTGTATGAGCACACCCAGACATGATACAGGAGCCCCCAAGGCCCAGGCCCAGGCCCGACTTTATACCCATCCTCGCGTTATGCCAGCGCTCGCATCCAACAGACAACAAGCTCCAGATGGTTCCTCCCTCCTGTTCCCTAATCCAACGAGACAATTCTTTGCCAAATCCCACCCTTTCCGAAACCTCCTGCTGATAACGCCGTCGCTTGAACGCTCGGTATTACCCATACCCATTTATCCGAACCGCCGGTTGGTGGCATCAAGGCCCGGAGCGATCCACCCAGTAATTAGAGAAAGAAAAGCGCCTCTTGACCAGTATTAACATCATCGTTCCAGCATTTGGCTGGCGCTGCGAATTTGGCCATCCGACAGAGCGGCCAGCCAAAGGCACCGCTCGATGACTCCAGGTAGGGGGTCGAAATTATACCTGGAACTTGCATCGATCAACCTTAAGAGTCCCTTCACAATGAGAGCGGTTGTTCGATAGCGCTCAAAGTTGACCAGAGGTTCGGTCCCACGTCCGACCTGAATTTGGGACGGCTTTTGGGCATTATAAGTCAAGTCATGGACATAGAGGCCTAGGCTGAGTTAGCAAGATAGCAATGAAGAGAACCCCCGAACAAACTGACCGATAAAAGGAACACAGCCATCGCTCAGATCGGCCGATTCCATTTCTAGACGAAGTTCATGGAAGTTGCGGACCGGTTGCACGAGTGCCTCCATGTGCTTGAGGAGGGACTTGTCAGGACCCGACACCATGTCCCAGGTCTTTGTAAGTCGGGTGCAATCCGTCGAGGTGAGTGCAATGGTAAGCTGGAGCATGGTTGCGTAATTATGCAGCCGGCGTGCATGCGCAGCGACGTGTATAAATTTGGTGATGACTCGTGCTCGCTCATGCACATCGTGAGTGAGGATGATTTCGGACAATGCCCATTTGACCACAAGATTGAAGCGGGTAATGACCAGATCAATCCCCCTGATGTGTCCATTTGTCAGGCAGTCCACCCAGTCCAAGATGTCAGCGGCCTTGCTGCTCCAACGCATGTCCACCAAGTCCGACCACTCAACTTCGGAGAGCGCCGACTTCTCCACGAGGGTCATTTGCTGCGCGAGGACTTGCGAATCACATGCGAGAACGAACGGGATGTGCGCCGGGCCCGCTGGTAGGCGAGCTAGTGGCTGCAACGATGAAGAATCTTGGAACTGCGTCGGTTGAGGGGGCGGGGGGGTTGCTCCTCGATTCGCCTCTGCAGCGCCAACCGGATCTGATATTCGCGTAGGATCCTCCGGAACATTGAGGTTCACAACTGAAGCATAGGTTAGTGGGTGAGCTGGTATCTCCAGTCCGGAGAGGGCGGTCCCGGGTGCCGCAAGCATGGGTTGGATAGAACGGTCTGCAATCTCGGCATGATTGATGATGTCGACGGATATCTCTGAAGACAAGTCCGAAAGATTCTCATCCTCGTCCAGAAGAAAGGATTGAGCACTTTCATTGGCCGTCGATGGTCTGGCCCCGCTGTTGTGATTCTTGCTGGCACTAGGAGGTGGCCCTTTTGGAAGGTGAAACAACTGCGGAGGATCTTGAGCAAAGTACCCAGGTGCAATTGTTCCAGGTGGTGCCTCGACATCGACATCCAGGGGCAATACCTGGCTGACGCTCTCAAAACCCCTTTCGCGCTTCAAAAGAGGAAGAGAGCCATAAGACTCCTCCGAGTCTGCGACAGATTCTGTGGGAAGTCCATAGATCGATGACCTCCGTGATGACAAGGGCTTTGCTTCTACAACTTCGGGGGCGTCAATGGACCTCTCATCGTGAGATGATTCAGATGCCACCTCATTGACTGTTGCGCGAATCTGACCATTGCTCGGGTGCGAAACGGGCCCGGCAAGGGTGATGGGCTCGATAGATGCTGGGTAATGGCGTCGAGAGCTCGAACCGAAATCAGGCAGCGACCGCCTCTTTCCCGTGGTATCAATCGGGTGTTGGTCGATGGGTGGTGATTTCTTCTCATAACGCCCTTCAAGCTTCATTAGTGTCGCTTCGAGTCCACCATCATCATCGTCGGGGATGGCAGAAAACCCGGCGATAGCGGCCTCAAATGAAGGACGCAGATGCTGTGAGGAATGGGTGTTGATCATGGAGACTGTTTTATTGGGAGGCGGTGCATTCGTCGGTCCACCTTGAATAGCGGTCTCTGTCTTCATGATGAGCAAGGATTCATGAGGCGAATCAGAGGCCGCGCTTGCTGTGTCGAGGGAGGCGTGGTGGCTCGCATGGTCTAAATCTTGTACATTCCCGACGAGACGCAAATCGCCCCCTGGTCTTCGTCTTAGTGGGTGAGACGGAAGCGATGGCTGTGAGGTATCATCCAAGTCCTTATCCTGCTCGTTCTGCACCGGATCTGGATCCGCGGGGAGAGTGGGCACGTCCTCTGGAGACACGCTTTCAATTGGTTCCGAAACGTCGAGTATCTGAACGTCATCCCGTACAGTCCTAGAGCTAGCAGTCATTGGCGAAAGAGGCCTACGTGCCACCTCTGCCAGGCCAGGGCTGTCCTCTGAAGGTGGCCCAGATTGGGCCAGATTCATTGTGCCCGATTCCGATAGACCTTCAGGGCCTTGGATGGCTGGAGTGTCCCGTTCGTCTCCAAGGACATTTGAGCTTCTCTGGGTCGCGGCGGCGTCAATACTTCCCCCTCGAAGCTCGCCGGTAGCCACGGCATGTCCATCCTGAAAGGAGAGGGCAGGTGTAATTTCATTCGGTTGGTCAGCGGGGAGGGCACCCGACATTGCCGGTACGTCATCGCCGGTAGCATCCACGATGAGGATAGAACCGCTTTCAGCCGTTGCATGACTAACTTGCCGTGGGGTTATTAGCCGATCACTACCGTCTGCGGTAGGCTGGAAAGGAGGATGGCTTGCGAAGAGTGGCCCATAAGTGATCCGACGTTTTGTCGGGAATTTCGTTTCATAGCTCTGACAGACCGCCGCACATAGGAGATCAATCCGGACCTCGCCCTTCTTGGACATTGCCGTTCCAGCCTTGTGCCGTAACTCATCGTGAGACTTGGAGACGTTGAGGGGAAGGTGTGATTTGTGACCTCGGACAGGGGCGTCTTGCGAGGATTGTGAAACTGCCAAAAGTGTCACGTTGACATTTCCGTGTTTGCTGCTCAAGACTTTCCGCAAAGAGCCAAAAATATTTCTTCCAACGGGATTGTTACCCGTGTGTGCCCCATGCTCCCTTCCAGAGAGACCCTGCACACTTCCTGGCTCATTCCGATCAAGCGATTGTGTTGATCCTGAGGACACGATCTGGACAAAGGGGGCACTTGGACTGTACAGGAGACCCCGAATAATACCTCCGTCTTCCACGAGCACCGCAGGTGAATCAGTATCACTCTTTCGGGGTGTAGGCTCTCTGTTGCTATCAATTGAGCTTGCACCTCGTTTGTGGCCCAGGGATTTGGGCGCGAGTGTCGTGTGCGTCTTGACCTGGAGGTTCGCCGGTGCATTCTTACGTCTTTGTTGAACCGACACCGGGTGAGGCCCTTTGCAGAAGGCATCACCGTCACCGCTGGGCTTCAGTAAATATTTTGGTGCAAAGCAAGAGTTGACATGCAGGCTACCATCGCTGGCCAGTGAGTCCGGATCCCTATCAGAAGCCAATGACTTCTGTCGAGTATGGCGCTGATGAGACTTGACGCTTGGGTCTGCTTCAAACCAGCTGGTGGATGGGCCACGCAGGACTTCTGGTTGGGGTGCTTGAGGTTGTACCGGGTGAGGACGGGCGCTGACACCGACACGAGAGGTGGGCGTGGCTTCAGTATCGACTGTACCTCCGCCTGGCTGAATCTCCTCTTCTTGATCGCCATCCAATTGAAAATCCTCTGGACTCCAACAGAGCGAGCAGCGGCCGTTCCAACAGCGTTTTAAGTCGCGCAAAAGCTTGAGGTCACTAAACCCATGTTGCGGGCTTGCCTTCACATCGGCATACAGCTCGTTAATCTCGTCACAGAAACGCTGTCGTAGGCGAAGATCGACGAAAAAGTCGTCCATGAAATAATTCAGAATCCAATGTCTGAGTGCCGCAAAGGTCCGAACCCGAATGATTCTCCCATCCTCCTCCAAGCGACCGATTGCCCATCTTAGCCGTGCAAGGAGGAGGTCCAAAACGCTGTGAGTCGACATATACGATCGAAAGGTCAGGAAGAAATCAGACACAAGTTCGTAATCCATGAACGAATCCGAGGAAATTTGAGCAATGATCCGAGCTGGAGTTGCCGCGGTAATCTCTTGCACATTCTGACAGTAGCGAACAATAGAGGGATCATCATAAACGGCGTTCAGATCATCGAAAAGCTTGGGCCGGGCCGAGCTCGTCAAGGTTGAAACTGTCCGAGACGTTGACCCGAACGAAGTCTCGCGCGCCACTGGCGAAGCGTCGGGTTTGGCGAATACTTCGAGTCCAGGCGCTGGCGTCGCCCCAACGTGGCGGCCGTCGTCGAACATAGCCGCAGTAGGTGTCATATCAGATGGGGCAACGGATCCCCGGGTGTAGGAGGAGCTGCGCAGCATGGGAGTTCCATGGGAACTGAAACGAAAGGTCCCAATACGATAATGCGGGATTGGCACCTCTAGGGTTGGCAAGGCATCCTTGTTTTCCTCTCGGGAGGATCTAGCAACTGATTCTGGCCGGGCAGTATTCGGGCGATTGATGACAATCTTCAGAGTCTTCGATTTCGATGCGGACAACGACTGGCGATGGTCCTCCACGGTGGAGAAAGATTGCGAGCGGCCGTGATGCGGACCCGACACTGCCCTGACAGAAAGCCGTCTCGATCGCTCCGATGGGGAAGCCGAGCGCGGTAGAGGAGCCACATCAGAAGGATTGGCCGCGATTTTGCTGTTTGAAAAGCTGGCATAGTCGTCATCTCCTAGATGAGCAGGGGCAGTGGACGGAATGGTCAAGACCACCGGTGAGACAACATGGTTCTGCGGCGGTACATGTATTTGGTGGGCCGAGGGCCTAGCACAACATCAGTAATGGAACGTCAACTTTCATGGTAGAGCAAGGCCTACGTCAGGTACAGGATGCCTCCGGTGCCGACATTCCCAATCGTGAAGTTGCGACCTTCTCTAGTGTCTGCGATCGAGTCTAGAGGCTTTGTTTTCCTGCCGAGTTTTGTAGACCGCTGCCTCAAGACTTCTGTGCTGTTCTTTGCACGTCTGAGCGAATTTGACCTTTTCTTCGGCGTGGCATTGGGAGCGGAGTTATTCCTATAATGTCTGCGAGACAGATCGGTATCTGGAGTCATGCTGCTCTTTCTCGGACTGGAGCCATGTTGCGAAGCTGTGGGAGCGGTTGTGGCGCCGGTGATATGACTGGCAAGCACAGGGTCGAGGGAAATCAGAGAAACATGACTGCTAATGGTAGATTCAGAGACCATTGCGACCGAGAATCAAGGTCAAAGATGACTCCAAGTGTCCAGCAACATGTTTATGTGGAGGATGGCAATAGAAGCAGGGCGGTCATCGTGGCGGATTGTCGCATGGCATCAATGGCCCACGGAATGAGTGTGCTACCGAGTCGCACAGCCCTCGACTCGACGGGTTTGGGGAGACTCGTGTGAGGCTGGATATCTTTGCGACGCGACAAGTGCAGACTCGCTCTATCCTATTTTCACTCCAACGCTGTTCCGACACCGCTGGTTTGAGGGAGAGGAGATGTTGCGACGGAGGCAGAGGCAGAATATTCGCTCCGAGGCGGGTCTTGCGAGACTGGAGGAATCGCGATCTCGGCTCACGACGGTCGTCAAAATCGGGGAGCTGGGTATTGGCGAGCGATCGCAACACAAAGGTGAGGCAGCAAGCAAGGGAAGGTGACAGAGGGTTCTGGGTGGTGGCGGAGGAGGGTGCGCAAAGCAAGCAGGCGCAGGAAAGAGAGCAACATGCAGATCGCATGCAAATCATGGAAGTGGCCGATGTGGCTGACTGCTCTGGGTGTAGTAGTAGCAGGAGCAGAGGCCAGCCAAACCCGGAAGCGAACGAACGGCACGATCACGGGTCCCGATTGTGACAGTGGAAAAGCCCAGCCCGCAACAGCTGTGATGGAAGTACGTATGGAGTATCATGACCTATGCGTACTACTTCTTAGAGTGAGGCGTTCGTCCTCGCAAATGGGTTTTGTTATTTGGGTCTTGACTCAGTCGGACCTAGGCCTTCTCTTAGACGTCGACTATCCTCCCTATTTCTCTTCCACGCGAGAGCGATCAACTGTAGTTCGCCCACCGCCACTGCCTGATAGGCGCGGATTCTGAGGCTGGGTCCCCTGTGCCGGGACTGCGCTCTGAGTCTGGCTATCCGTACCTGTTTGGTGCCTGTCGTCTTTACCGATGGTGCCGAGTATCAGCGAAATTGCCAGGGACCAAGGAACCGGCAAGAGAAATGAAGATGACGACAGCGGTTGGATCTGAGGGTCGGTGTTGGGTCGACGAGCTCAGCTGTGGTGGCTGGATGTTATTATAGCTGTCAGAGGATATCAAATCCCTGCTTTAGGCAGGCCTGATGAGCTCTGGGTGATCTCTGGCTGCGTGCCTGGAACATACTATAACGTGCCATCCGTACTTTGTGGCTGTTTGCCGAAATTCTCAGGTGCGAGGTGCGAGGTACGAGGTGCGGTGCGCAGCTGGGTCACCTACGGTGGGTTGGCCTCCCCACCTGTCCGAGCCTGCGGTTCTGCCTACAACCTCTGTAGAAGTATCCGTACCCAGCCAGTATCCGTCTCTGCGACCACTACTCCATACCTACCTGACACTACCACTGCATACGAATGTACGGATACATCGTCTGCTAGCTGTCTTTTCTTCCATCTCGACTCTCACTCGTCTACTTTTTCACCTCAACGGCCAATGATACTCGCCAACACATGGCCGAGACTTCTGACACTCGGCTTGGCTTCACGAGACTGACTTAGCATCTATGTCTAGAGACCAACGACCCTGCTCCAGCCTCTTCTCTCCCACTACCGAGTATCCGTACACTATCACCTGCCATCCAAAGTATCCGTATTCAGCAGGCTCCGGAGTGCTGATCTCTTCGGAAAGGGATAAGCTGCACGTCACCTCAAATTTTAACTGGCAGCAATGACACCCACTATTTGGAGATGCATTAAGCCTCACCTTGTCGTCGGATGCCACGTCCTTTGGACTCAGGTGTGATCTTCACGGCGGTGTACTGGACGAGCTTGAATTGTCATTAATGTTGAATGGAGAGCCAGCCTCTTTCTTTTCTCACAAGCGCCATCCTCACAATCAAGAGCCTCTCCCCTTCTACTTGTCAACATCTCGGAAGGCCCTCTTACCAGATATGTGTACGGAGGACAGTCCTGCCTCCTCGAGTCAGGATCAACCAGTGTGATTCTATTATGCTCATCCGCAACGCTGTTGATACTAAAAATGCCTTGGATGATATGTGTTTGGACATGCCACAAAGGAGGTTTATCCTCACTCAAGAAACAAGTAGTACTCCGTATATATTTTCGGGCTTTCGGAAACACCGAGCTGAAGGGTTCAGCTGGAACTTGGCCGTAACTGTCGTGTCACCACGGCAGCTCTTCATCACGAGTCGTCCCAGCTATTTTGCCCCTGAGATAACATGAAAGAATCGACAATTCTCCCGCAGTAGCTGGTAGTCTGACTCGAGCCACGAACACTCCGTGAGCGCAGACACATCAGGAAAAGACGGACTGCAGCTTGTCGAGCCTCTGGGCCATACTAGCCCAGACATAAAGCAGCAGAACTTTCGAAGCAGGTTGAAGACATTCCTAGGTAGTAAGCTCACGGATATCTTAGAGCAAATTGAACAATTCCATCGATGCAATATTTGTTCCGACCTTCACGAAGCTATCGCGAAGAGAGACCATCCAGCTTCGGACGTCCAATCTTTGGGTGCTCTGACTTGGCAGAAAAAGAACCCGGCGAACATATGCAAGGCATTGACACGAGAGACAGGCATGGCAAAGGGAAATGCAGGGACTGGTCAGTCTTGACGAGATCTCTAGATTCAATCTGGGCCACTGCAGGAAAGATGAGTGGTTTTCGGTTGGCAGAGCGGCCTAGATAAGGTACGTAAGCCCAAATGCGGAACAGAGTTTTTCCATGCCGAAGCCGACTTCATCTTGGTATCTGAGTTCGATGATGCTCCATCTCACTCCCACCTCCTCCACTTGCTTCCCGACTCCCGACGGGCTTCTCTGGCCCAAAAAGAAGCTTGCACCGGCGCTTCCTCCGCCATGGCCGAGACAATGATTACATCAAGCAGCTTCTGATCGCTGTTCACGTACTCCTGCATACCTCATTGTGCATTCCACTGAGACGTTGTTATCTGCTGCGCCGCGTCGGCCTTTGATCAGCATCCTGCTGCAACCCTACACGATAACGTGAGATAATTGTATGTGCAAAAATTTTCTCCATCAGGCTGATGAGCGCGCATTCTGGTGCTGGTGTGATGGGTCTCATGTTGTCTTGCCACATCAACTCTAGCACGGCCGGCGTACCCGCTCTCCGCCATCTATATTGCAAAATGACCTATCAGTGTCTTGTCGAGCGTGGACTTTTCAGGTGAGGTAGCCTTGCAGAGTATCAAGACCCCTGTTTTTTGCCTCAGTTACGTCGAACACCTTCCAATGGGTAGGTTCCCTTACGGAATTTTTTCCCTTCCACCCCTACCCGACAAACCACAATCCACTCTTGCTGATTGTTATCCGCGTTTCTATTCGTGCTTTGCAATGTCCTCTCGTCGCATCTGGCCGACGACCTCGGGGGGGCCCTCTCCATTCACGCCTTTTAATATGAGAGCACCTTCTGTCATTGTTGCACGGTCCCTTCAAGCACCAAACATCCACCATTTTTTTTATATATACAGAACCTAAGACAGTCTCCTCCACAATCCACGATGGAAAAGGATGTTGAGGCAGGGTCCGATGGCTTCAGCTCTCGCTTCGACGTATCGCAGGGCAAGGTCGAGTTGCCGCGTGCACCCACGGCGTTCGGCCGTTTTGTTGACAGCTTTAAACGAAATCCTAATGCACGCGTTACTACCGAAGCAATCGACGCAGATGGCAAACGTCTCCCAGATCAACCTCCTGCTGAACCGGCACTCGCTATGAAGCTGAAATCACGACATCTACAGATGATTGCTATTGGCGGTTCCATCGGTCGGTCCCCCTTAGACCCCTCGCAGAACACCGCTGATGAAATGTAGGAACTGGCTTGTTCGTGGGTTCGGGATCTGCTCTTGCAACCGGAGGGCCTGCATCTTTGATCATCGCATATGGCTTGATCGGCGTCATGCTTTTTTGCACCGTACAAGCGCTGGGCGAGCTGGCAGTGGCCTATCCCGTTGCTGGTGCATTTTCTGTCTATGCAAGTCGATTTCTGGATCCAGCCTGGGGCTTTGCGATGGGTTGGAAGTTAGTGTCGCTTCACTACTATGAGGAACCATCAAGCTGACGATCGTTTAGCTATGCCCTTCAATGGATGGTCACACTACCACTTGAGATCGTGGCGGCATCCCTCACGCTGGAATTCTGGCCCGGGACTCGAGATACCAACAGTGCCGCTTGGGTGACAATCTTTCTCTTCGTGATCATCGCCATCAACTTCTTCGGAGTCAGGGGGTACGGTGAAGCCGAATTTGTATTCTCCATTATCAAGGTCATTGCGGTCGTCGGATTCGTTATCCTCGGAATCATCATCAACACTGGGGGTGTGCCCGGCGACCCTCGAGGGTATATGGGCGCTCACTACTGGTATGACCCAGGCGCTTTTGTACGTTCAGGCCCACGCCTCAAAGATATGGGAAAGACAGACTAACATTCTTCAGAATGCTGGCTTCAAGGGTCTTTGCTCCGTGTTTGTGACGGCGGCATTTTCCTTCTCCGGAACCGAGTTGGTAGGTTTGGCGGCCGCGGAGACGGAAAATCCACGTACTTCGCTGCCCAGGGCCGTGAAGCAGGTCTTCTGGCGAATTGCGCTTGTAGGTGACCTCGAATTCCCGCAACTAGAAATTCTTACTGACGGGCATTCCAGTTCTACATGGTCTCCCTCACCATCGTAGGAGTGTTGGTCCCTTACAACGACCCAGACCTCCTCAACGGCACCAGCTCCGCCGACGCCAATGCCTCCCCCTTTGTGATTGCCGTGCGCAATGCCGGCATCGACGCGGTTCCATCCATCATGAATGTTGTTATCCTGATTGCCGTCCTGTCCGTCGGCAATTCCTCCATCTACGGCGCCAGCCGTACGCTCGCCGCCCTGGCAGATATGGGACAAGCCCCGAAAATCTTGGGCTACATAGACCGCGCCGGGCGCCCTCTGGTGTCGATCATCGTTTCCTCTCTGATTGGCTTCCTGTGCTACATTGTCGCAGCTGGTCCAGAAACCACCACCGAAGCATTCAACTGGATGATTGCCATCAGTGGGTTGGCCGCCATCTTTACATGGTACGGGCTGAAATCGCACCCCCAACAGCTACCCATTAGCATTTATACTAATTCTAATACTAATACTAATGCTGACCTTTTGTCTCAGGGGATCCATTTGTCTTGCGCACATCCGTTTCCGTCGAGCCTGGCGCCTTGCCGGCCACACCCTTGACGAATTGGCCTTCAAATCCCAAGCGACCGTCTACGGTTCTTGGCTCGGTCTGATCATGAACATTCTCATCCTCATTGCACAATTCTGGACCGGCTTCGCGCCCATCGGATATGCCGACATGACTGCCGGGGAGCGGGTCAAGAACTTTTTCGAAGGCTATCTCGCCGCCCCGATCGTCATCGTCATGTATCTCGGCTACAAGATCGTCCGGAGGACCAAGTTCCGAAGAGCCCGGGAGATCGACCTCACCAGCGGCAGGAGAGAATTGAACCTCCAGGAGATCTTGGAGGAGGAGCGCAGAATCCAGGCCACGTGGCCCCGGTGGAAGAAGGTGTGGCACATCATCTGTTGAGATGGTACTACATCGAAATAGAATACAAGAATACAAGAATACAAGAATACAAAAGGAAAAGAGGGAAAGAGGAAAAGAGGAAAAGAGAAAAAGAGAAAAAGAGGAAAAGAGAAAAAGAGAAATTCATGTTTTAGACTTGTGGCCATGGTCATGGTGCTGGAAGCACCGCGGCTGCTGTCAAAATACCTTGACTAGATGAGTGTCTCGGTAAAAGAGGCTTGGGTTTACGATATGATAGCGGACTCATGATGATGATGAGGATGATGATGATGATGATGAATGATGATCAACGACAGAGCTCGTGGTACGAAAAGTGAATACATATAATATAACTGTATATTATATATATATAGAGATCTCTCTCTCTCTCTCTCTCTCTCTCTCTCTCTCTCTCTCTCTCCATTCATTTATTTATATCAACTGTCCAAGTTTCCCAATATCGACAAACAACCCTGTTGTCGGGATACCAGGTACAGAGCACCGTACTCTTATACCTATCCGTACACATACTAATGTACCTGAGGTATGTATACATGTACTCGGTACTTGTTGCCGAGAGAACCGAACCCCCAAGGCCCGCCGTGGATGGAGTACGTACCTAGGTATGCACTCGGCAGCAATGCCGGACATCAGAGTAAGAGGTCCCGTTGTGGCACCAGACGTATTCAACCCTCCTCAACGATTGGTGTCTTGTCTTCCCGACCAGGAGCGTCTTCATTGTCAATAGGTACGTTTCGGATTGGCAGCGGAACAGAAGCAGGCGTTGAGGCGGGAGAGTTTAGTGCGGTTCCGAACCTGAGCCTTTCACTTGCTGGACGGTTTGGGCGACCATATCCTCAAAGCTCACCCACTCGGTCAATCCAAGTATGGTGGCGCAATTGTCGGAGACGATGTCAAAACAATGCAACGTCTGCTTCTCGGTCGAAGGCGTGAAACCACACGTTTTGCGCGCCACGTCGGCGATTTCAGAGTAAGTCCTCTTGGTCGGGGCGAGAATGAATCGCTCCCGGTCCGCTTGGGGGGTGGTCAGGGCTCGGATGTGGGCTTTGGCGACATCTCGCACGTCGACCCAGTACGGGAAGTCGATTTGCGGGAGGGAGTCGGCGGGCTTGGAAACGGCCGTGTTCCAGATCAGCTGGTTGCTGAAACTCAGGCTCTGGGGCCCTTTGGGCAGAGGCAGAACGCACGGCCCGCCGATGTAGGTCGGGCAGATGACGGTCAGGCGCCATCTCGACGGCGAATGCGAATGCGAATGCGAATGCGAATGTAAATGACTGTCACTCGGGGTCAAAGTCAAATATTCGGCATAAAAGTCCCAGGCCGCTTTTTCCGCGAGCTTCTTCGACGCCATGTAGGTGATGAATGGACGGTACTTGGCGGGCCAGGGGGACAGATCGAGGTTCGGATCCGCCGCCGTTTCGTAGTCGATGGGGTTCCAGTCCGCCGGCGTGTACGTGTATCCCGGTCGCAGGTCGAAAGCCGGGTCGAGCACGGCGGCGAAGGAGCTGGTGATTACTACAGCTTCCACCGACGACGACCGCGCCGCCGCCTTCAGCAACGACAGCGTGCCTTGCACGGCGGGGATGAGCACGTCCTTCTCGACGTCCGCCGCCCCAACCACCAGCGGCGATGCGATGTGCGCGACGTGAGTGCAGCCGACGATGGCGGAGTCGAACGCATCTGCCGCCGCGATGTCGGGCACGCGCACGATCTGGAGAGCGCCAGAGGCGATTTCTTGTGAGAAGACCGTGGCCAGCCCGGCCTCGGAAGATGCTGATCGGACTGTGGCGCGGATTCGGGGCCTGTTGGCCACGGGGCGGGATAGGAGTTGAGAGACGACGTGCTGCGCGACGTGGCCGTTGGCTCCGGTCACGAGGACGAGCGAGGAAGGAGTGAAGTCTTGCACAGGCTTAGGCGCCATTGTTGATTGTTTTGTTCACTCGCAGACAGAATGAACTTCAACCACTCGAGTTCGAGTCGATGAAGACGAGCTGGAATTGGTTTCTGAGATTTGACGGTTCAGGCTTCCGCTCCGGCAATCCATGACTTCGAGCCCTGCGTACTCTGGAGGGTGTGCTTGTGCTTTGAATATTAGAATCAAGCGCATATAGGACATAGGAAGGACGTTATCTCCGGCGGGCTTGAACTTGGAACCTGAAGGGGACTGCGGATATAAGAGAAGCGATCTATACTCTATACTCCGTACTGATCAATGGATACCATGGTGGTCAAAAGCATAGGCGGACATGTGTGTATTCTACTCCAAGTGTGAAGCTTCTGGGCACCTGTGGGCACCTAGGTAGGAGTTGTACGGATATAATGTACGGAGTACGACGGGGATAATGGTGGGCTGCACCAGTGGGTCTCATAATTCTGTGAACACCCAAACCTGTCAGACCGAGCAGCCACCCGCCCTTTTCTATAGAGATATAGGTATCCTATATCATTCCTATTTTCAACGCCTCTACTCTTAAAAGTTTCTTTATAGCTATAAGATTAAAATATATAGTTAATTAAGTATTAAATTTTATAATAGTATAGATTTTAATTAGTGAAAATAATTACTAAGGATGTAAAAGGTGATAGTTTCTCGCTATACGCCAAATTTAGGTGCGTGTCAGACAGCCTGTTCACGGAATTATGAGACCCACGTGGGCTGTACGAACCTCTATTACGTAATATAAGCATGACTTTAGCCGGCATCGCTCTACCTGCCTAGCCGAGTCACAACCTACTACTAGTCACCTACTAATAGCAGCACGCTACTCTACTTTGAAGCTGAAGCAGCGCAGCTTTTCATCAGTAGCAGTAATTAGGGCGACATGAATATTCCGCTCTCAACAAACTCTGGAACTCTTCACTGGATCCCTACTGACGGGCAGCGCTACATAACTCCGTATACCTTTCTCTATGAAGGCGTGCCTCAGGTAGCTACATCTATATTTATATTTTCTACGATCAACTTAAGGTATCTACCTAAGATCGCGACCCTGCCGATCCCACCCCAGCGGCCTCGAGCATCATCTTCATCGGATCAGATTTGTGACTTAGGCCGTAGGTACGAAACCGAAGTCCCCACCCTGCGACTCCAGGACACAACTCAAGTTGAGGTACCTTATAGAGTACGGAGTGCACATACCTAGGAGGTACGGCGTATGTGTACGGAGTACCCAGGTAGTTGACCGCGGGCACGTGGCGCTGCTCCAGCATATCTGGCACCCCCGCGTAATCGAATGGAATGGTACAGTATCTATCTGTACGGACTACGGAATATTCCTAGTGCCTGCGAGTCTCCGGCTTACTCAATGTGTTCCTGCCCGACTGGCCACTGCATCCTGTATCCGTACTTATAAGGGCGCCTTGCGACCAGATCCACTTGGATACCACGTATGGATACTGCACCTAGGTACCTAGGTAGCCTTACCCCAGGACTGGTGCACCTTGATCGAGTCCTCAGGCAGACGCACAGAGTAGTGGAGACATACCTATATACACATAAGATACTTACATGTGCCAGTATCGTTCTGGCATTATTAGGTGTCAAGGTGATCTTCTTTTTTGTCGAGCCTCGAGCCACGAGCCAGCGACGGACCGTGCCGAAGAGGGAAGAGGGAAGATGGAAGAGGGACAAAGTGGGCTGGCATCCTAGGCAGGCATGAACCACCACGCCTGGAGGACCGAGGATGTGGTACAGTATGACCACGTCCGTCCTAGGCGTGTTACGCATAGACATACCCAAAAAGGGATGAATGACTCCAGTTTATTGAGGGGACGAAAGCAAGTACTCCGTACTCCGTACAGTATCGCAACGTGGCGATGGCGGTGCCAGTCTACTTGGCTGCCAGGCTGGCAGAGGCTCTACCAGAACGGAGGACTTATGGATGTGTATCTACCTACTCAACTTGTAGAGTATTCTCCGTACATGTAACACATACAGAGTACAGAGTATGTATAATTAAATAAAGACTTTCATTGATCGAGGCAATTCGGCGTCTTGCCAGCGACGCTGGAGACGGCAGGCAGTCTGTACCGTGCTCCCTACCTGTACGGAGTGGTTTTGTTTTCAGGAGACTACGGATACAGTCGCCAGCAGTGCAGTCCCGCTCACCCACCCGGTGGCCAGTCCTCCAATCCCGCTGCCCATGTCATGGCGGCTGGTTGACAGCGTTTCAAGAGCCATAGCCATGCCATGTGACGACACAAGTACAACTGAGTTATACCCTGCAATTTGACACATGCCACTGCAGGGAATTCGAGCCGATGGGCTGAACTACTGATAACTTGACACACATACAGTTAGGCGGCAGGAAGGCGGCAGCGGCCAGCCAGCGTCTATTGGCGGTCGGGTGGTCTCCTGACACACACATTCACATTACACAGCATAGCCACCAAATAGCCTGGCTAAGGTAGGTCCCTGAGTACACAGCATAGCCTAGCTAGGGTTGGTAGGTGCCTACACAGCATAGCCTACCTAAGGTACGAGTAGGAGTAGGTGCCTCCTTGTACACTGGCACATTGTAGGTAGCAGCCCTAAGACCTTGACGGCGGTACGGAAGCTTATAGGTCCCCCTCGATCATCGGCAGTTGTGATGACATGGGTGACAGCGGCAAGGCAGACTACACGATTGCTGAACAGAGATCTGAGCTGAACAGAACCGGTGAGTTTGGGGCTCAAATAGCGGTCAATCACGGCTCAGACAGTCATGGGGATTTCCCTGTCGAGAGGATTCCGCAGAGCCTCACATGTACGGAGTACTCTGTACGGAGTAGTGATATCTGTAGCCCCGCTCACCTCTCGTTGAAGATGAAGATGGAGCGGTACCGAGTCATCGGCTGCCAGGTGTCGCGAGTCAATACTCCGTACAGATACTTATGTATGTGACAAGGTTTGAAGTCAGTAGTGGTTTTGTGAGCCGCCGCTAAGATCATCCAGAGCCCTACATATGTAAACACTCGGACATTCGCATTCGGCAGACTCCGTACATACTTTGGCGCAAGGGGCGGGGATGGAGCAAGATACGGAGTACATGCTCACCCACAGCAGGCTAAGAGGCTAAGGGGCTAAGGAGGTGGCAGGGCACCCATTTCAACACCCCTGTCACCTTGCCTGTTGTCCTGTCCGATCCTATAGTGCTCCCCTGCAATCCCCCTCGGGCAATCACCCATGTAGGAGTAAGCCACACATGAACATGAACAGCATAGAAAGGCGACCGCCGAAATTCATGGCTTGCATTGGCGTAAGACACACCAATGATTTTGTGTCTGTACTCTGGACCTACCCTGACTGAATCAGTTCAGGTGTGATTCGAGGCGGCAGGCTTCGGCCTAGGCCACGTTCCCAGCATGAACAAGGATCATTTCGCAAGGTGCAGCAAAGCTCCCTTGCTACTCAATGTTCCAGGTGACGCTTGATCCGAGCCCTCCTAAGCCTAAGCCCTCGCGTCGGGTGTGTCTGAGCCGTCTTCGAGTAAGGTGGCCATCCAGGGCCCCCTGCTCAGCATCTACGTGTCGATCAAAAAGCATGGTGCAGCCGCATCGCCCAGCTTCAGACTCTCAAGTGAGGCTACACCATGGACAACCACCACCCACCATCTGCCTCCCACCATCTGCCTCTTCACCCGCCCCATGCAGGGCCTATTGATCATTCAGGCCGCACACGCATACGTTTAGGGCGCTCAGTAGCACCCTGGGAGGAAGCCCTGCATCCGAATCGTTGTCAGGCATCGAGGCGCATTGGCTGTCGCCTCGGTTGAGAGAGTAAAAGACGCGACAGTCTCTGCTGGAATTATAGAAGCGGGTGGACGGCCGCTGGTCAGCCGCATCTTGTTCTATCAATAATGTCTCCCCCGCGTCGTTCCAGTCCAGAGCTGTCGGCCAAGTCTGGCATTGATGAAAAACGTCTTCTCCGACCAGCGACATCTTCCACCCGACTACCCAGGGGCTTGTTACGCAGAACATCAACTGCGATTTCTGCCATTCTACCTCTCGCGCTTTGTGGCTTAACCCAGCGGAAACAGATCCATTCCAGAAGCGAGCCGAAAATGGTATGAGCCCTACTTTATTTCCCCTTCGCAAGTTCAGTGCTGAAATAGACAAGTGTTTTATGATCCACGCAGACAATGGTCACGGGTTCCATTATGTGCAAATGGATGCGCTGAGCCAGGATAAGACTGCGGACGTCATGGTGATCTCGGAAGAGCTGGCAGGTCGGCTGCTTGAGAATACGCGTCTGTGGAGGACAATCAATAACCCTCGTCCCATCATAGATGAGCACGGCATCAGCCACATTTGCAAGCATTCAATCAATGTCAGCTGCCGCTGGGGAAACGATCAAGGAACCAGAGACGCAAAGGTTTATGTCTCGTCCCAGCTGAGGCAGAAAGCGCGATTGAGCGAGAAGGGTTCCATGGCAAATGTTGACCTTCTGGTGCCGAGAGTTCTACCTCCAGCCGAGTCAAGATCGCCACACACAGTCCAGCCGACTTATCATCACCCGCGCCAGACTCCGGGTATGTGAATCTTTCTCTAGGCTAGCATAATCAAAGACCAAGAAGTGCTCGGCTGGTCGTTGAGGCTACTGCACGGCTCTGCGGGCTGACCTATGACCAGAAGAGAAAGACAGGCAAAAGAAGAGCAACGAAGCTGCCAATAGGACTCATGAGGACTCAATGAAAGCAACGCACCGGAAGAAAGAAAAGAAATTCGAAGATGCTATCAAGAAACCGGATCAAGGCGCCCGTTGACCGAAGCGCCAGCTGGCGCAGGGTCGGACAAGTTGTTGGGGTCCGTGAATAGTTTCGTTATTTATTCCTAGTGCATATCAAAACCAATCAGTAGCAATACCTCAACTGCTGGAGCCCACTGTGACGCCGCCCACAAAGACCACCTGAACAGCAGCGAACGCAATTGTCGCTGCGAAGATTTCGTATCGTCTGCCCTGGGCCACGAACCCCATGATCAGGGAAAACAGCGAGCTGAAGGCAATGATCAATAGCAGCCGAGACAACATGCTCTGCACAAAGTAAAGAACGATAATCGAGGAGGACGGGATCACGGTGGAGAGGATGGTGCAGAGCACGTTTCCCAGGACCACCAGCTTCTTGTCGTCGTAGGCGTAGTATGGACCGAGAGAGTCGTCGTCAATCCTTTTTTGCCAGCGATGACCGAGGCAGTTATGGTAGAATGGAAGGAGGGCATTGGCAACCCAAGCTGCAAAGCGGTCCGATCTTTTTCTCAGCGCCATCAGATCGCCGGTCTGATTTTCGTCCCATGCGGTTGCTTCGGCATTCGCGGAGAGCTTGAGGAAATTGTTGCCGCCTTTTTCGTTCTGAAGCCAGCGACGGAGAAAGTCGAGATCGCAAGAGTCAGGATTCCCTGTTCTCATGACTGCTGCCGTCCGCGATAGGAACTCATCTGCAATGTTAGCCGAAACTTCAGGGTCCAGAGAAGAATAATAAAAAAAGCGTAGCCTCTATTACAATATCTCGTCAATTTCTCCTCCGCCTTTAGAATGATCTCTTTGCGTAAACTGCGTCCACCGTCATCGACGGTCTCATTGGCCTTCTCCCACGACTTGGCATGCTGGGATAGATTCGGATGCTGGAGTTCGAAGTCCCTCAAGACTTCGAGATCATCCTCAAGCTCGAGGAGTTCTGCTTGCATATGGAGAATCACCTGAGCAGCCAACGGACCAAAGCGTCGCACGATGGCCAAGTCAGGATGACTCCCGAACAATTTTGAGAGCTCGTCGTAACTAGGCATAGGAAAAGGCCCAAACAGAAAAGGAAGAGCTTGATGGTGGAACGGAGGGACGGTCAACGTGGTTCAAAACCGGCAATCTTGTATCCGCTGCTCAACGTTGGGTGGAAGAGGCTGAAATGGGGCGGAGCTGCTCTAAGAATCGGTGAGGATGTGGGTATTTGGATACAGAGACCATAACATAGCCCATGCGTGCTTTACAGTCTTCTTCATGACGCCTTAGCCGTGATTCCAGCCGTGAAGGTGTGGTGTGGCTTGCTGCGCCTGGGAACCTGGCTGGGCAGAATCGAGCTCCATTGACCCGCTGCAGAGTGACGAATCTGAACAGACCGGTTTGGTCTACTGCCAGATTCCATCATGCGTGGTTTGAAGAATCAGACAGAAGGGCGTGGGGCCGGGCTGTGAGTATGTTGTCGGAGCAGGAACAGGAGCAGGAAGCACCCTCCTGGTAGCCCCTAAGCCCTCCTGAGTCCTGACACCTACCGTAGCCACCACTCGTTGCGCGATTAACAGGCTCCCTACTGTCCGCGGCCGGCATCGCCACTTTCCCCAAGCCAAAGGATGATACCATCCTCCGCATACTAATGTGCGCAATCTTCCTCTCTTTCCAAGTCTCGTTCTGGTGGTTCCCCGCCATACCACCTTGCCAAATCATTCTCCTTGATGCATAAACTGGAACGATTGATCCATAGGGAGGATCTTTCACACCAACCCCGATCGTCGCCTATTGGCATCACGGCGGCCGCGAGTCGGTGCTGGTGGGAACCCTGATAGAAGCAGGGTAACGCTGCCCATCTCGCCTATCTCAGATGCCTTCGCAGCAATCTGGACGCAAAGGACGCAAAAGACGCTGGGTTGTTCAACGCTTTGAAGATCTTTTACGATTGCCTGCCAATGTGAGTGAAAAAGTCAACGCGCATCTTGTGAAATACTTACAATAACTTCCGCCAGGCGCCGCAACCTTCCAACGATAGCAGTAGAATAACACACCTCCACTCTCATGCTCCCATCACACCTACCGAGCCTCCTGGACCGGTGTCGGACGTACCCAGCACAAACCTTCCCTCCACGCACAATCATCCTGTCGATATAACTACAGACGAGACCCCTCAGCCGGACGAGCATATCCTGCCAACTGTTCACCAGCCGACTGCATGGCTAAGAGGTGTGGATATTGATCGTTTCCAGGCGTCTGTGATGGGTAGTTACACTGCTACAGATAGCGACACTAGTCTCGGCCAGATAACAATCTTTGGAGATGAGCCAGCTCACAGTGGGGACTCATCCCCGATGGATGAAACTTCGTTGGACCCTAGGCAGGCGATCAATCACGGCAATGGCTCCAATGATGACTCGACCAGTGACGATAGCGAAGCCTCCTCAGCCCTTGGATCCAAAGGATTCTCGCCGTTGTTTGATACTGGTGCGCAAGTCAGTATCATACCAGAGACGACGTTAGCCAGGATGAAGAAGGGTTACACAAAGACCTGCCATCTACCTCCACAACAACGGGATAATATGACACTCGCGGATTTTAAGGGGAACACCTATCATCCCGTTGGCTTAGTTCCACTTCTCTGGTGTCTTGACGACTTTCCTGAGGTCAGTCTCAATACAACTTTCTGGGTTGTGGATGGGAAGGTCCCGAACGACCTAATCATCGGCAAAGATGTCCTGAATGCTGTCGACTTTGCCGTCATGCGGGAAAGGCAGTTCCGCAGTAAGGGCCCGAGTAAGGGCCCGGTGCTCAAGAAAATGAAAGCCGCAATCCGCAATTCATCGGTGAGATTGCTGCGCCCAGCCTCTTCAGGAAGTCTCCACAGCAGACCACATCATTGAAAGCGCGGGAAATACGGAGTTAGGTGCGAGGAAACCGGAGTTCATTGTGAGCCAGGAGACTGAACATATTGAATACCACAAATGCGGGATGGAAATGTTGCACAGCATTGGCCAGCTTGCTTGTTGGACGACAGCACGCTACTAAAATAGACTATCCCTGGATATCATATCATGGACATATAGAAGGTTCGAAATTCGAACTTCTCCGAAAAAACCCCTTTTTGGCCTCGAGCAGTGTTTGCATGCGTTCCCCCTGCTGCAAATAATTCTCTGAGCTTATGAGAGCCATCTCGGATGTCCAGCTATCATTCGCCTATTTGTACTCCGTACACGGGCCCCAGGTTGAAGGACGGACGTCTTTTTTCTTGTTTGCTATCTGGAAACTTTGGGTCTTGCGTTGTGATAGCATCGGCAAGAAGCCATGGGGATTTTGATTGTGACTGCTCACCAGGACGGCAAGGCTGGGCAGCTGCTGCCTCTTTCACAGCACATGCAAGTTACAACTTGACGGTGAGAGCTTATCTTTTATAGGAAACCAAGATCAAAGGATGCAAGCAAGAGGGTTAATATGATGCAATCAAAATCGCGGGTAAAAGCGGTGGAAAATGCAGTCTCCCGCTCAAGGTATGTGTCTGATTCTTTGCTGGCAAGCCGTACACACTTGGTGCCTGGGCAATATCAGCTTGCCCTTTCACTCACCAGCACACAACTGCCTTGCTTCACTGATCCCAATTGAACCTATATCTTTTCCGCCTGTTCTTTTCTTGAATTCTCCAAACCTAGTTTCATTCCAACTTCTCTCATCACTGCCATCATGGGAGACGTCAGCCAGATGAAGTTGCCAGAGATCGGCCTTCAGACTCCAGAGCATGAAGAACTTCTCAACATCATCGATAGCCTGCGTTCCCATGGCATTAGTCAGTACATCGACATCCCACAGCTGATTGTGTGCGGCGACCAGAGTTCAGGCAAATCTAGTGTGCTGGAAGCCATATCCGGGCTGCGGTTCCCTACGAAAGACAACCTCTGCACTCGCTTTGCAACCGAACTGATCCTTCGGCGTGGACCCTCCCCAAGCATCAACGTGACAATCATCCCACACGGTGACCGCACCGAGAAAGATGCAGAGTATCTTTCCAAGTTCAAATCACCCTCAAACTCCCTCGATGACTTTGCAGACATTGTCAGATCCGCCGAGAAAGCCATGGGCTTGGACTTCCTCAACGCAGTTTTCTCCCGAGATATTCTGAGAGTGGAGCTTTGTGGCCCTACTCAGCCCAACTTGACATTGGTCGATCTGCCTGGGATCTTCTGGGCTGGAGACAAGTCACAGTCAGATGATGATGCTGCCCTTGTGCAGTCGATGGTCAGATCATACATGGAGAAGAGTAGGAGCATCATTCTCGCCGTCGTCTCTGCAAAGAGTGATCTGGCCATGCAAATCATCACCCGGATGGCACGAGACATTGACCCAAATGGACAACGAACCCTAGGAATCATCACTAAGCCCGATCTCTTGTTCAATGGCTCGGACAGCGAAGCTGCCTTTGTCAAGCTGGCCAAGAACGAGAACATCATCTTCAAATTGGGATGGCATGTCCTCAAGAACCGAGACTTTGACACGAAGGACAGTTCACGAGAAGAGCGAGATGCTTCAGAACAGGCATTCTTCGAAAGCCGTGTCTGGTCGTCTGCTATATCCAAAACTCAGCTCGGAATCGACAGTCTGAAACCACGGCTCAGTCGTGTCCTGCTAGGGCAAATTCTGGCAGAGCTTCCCAACCTGGTTCGAGATGTTGAGCACGAGTTGGAGGCCTGCACAAGTCGTCTACGATCTCTCGGGCAGCCACGCAGCACTATCAACGAACAACGCTCCTACCTTCTCAATGCCAGTTCCAAGTTTGGGTACTTTGTCAGAGATTCCATCACCGGCGTCTACACGGATTCCTTCTTTGGTAGCTCCGAGACCGAAGAAGGCTACAGCAAACGTCTCCGTGCCGTTGCTCAAAACGAGCTTCTCGACTTTGCCGAAACAATGCGAGTCCGAGGGCATGCCCAGGAGATTGTTGAGAAGGAGCCAGCAGAGCCCACACCCGCACCATCTGAGACCGGGCCGCTGGTGATATCAAAGCCCAAGTACCTGACGTCGGTAAGCAATCGGATGCGTCGCAACCGAGGGTGTGAACTTCCGGGTTTGTTCAATCCAGCCATCGTCAGCGATCTGTTCTTCGATCAGTCTAAACGGTGGAAACGAATTCTCCAAGACACCGAAGGGAAGCTTGTCGCCGCCGCCAGGACTTCCGTGAGCCTCGTTGTCGAGCATATCTGTGACGCCGTCACCGGGGATGCAATCTTGCGATATATCATCTGGCCAAACATGGAGCCTGTCGTTGCCAAGCTGCACACCAAGGTCGAAGAGGTCCTGCAGCCTCATGTGAGAGGTCATCCCATCACTTTCAACCACTACTTCACCGAAACCCTCCAGAAGAAGCGGCAGCAAGGATCCCGAGCCACACTGGCGAAAAAGCTTCTCGCATATTTTGGCGTCGACCCAGAGTGTTCTTTTGGTAGCATAGCAACAGGTTCGCGCATCAACGTCGACGACCTATTAGATGCCCTGACGGCAGAAACTGAGGCAGATATGGATCAACTTGCGTGCATCGAGGCGATGAATGCCATGGAAGCTTACTACAAGGCATGAATCATGAGACGCGGGACTGTGAGTTCTGTTTAGCTAGTATTCGTACTGACCCAGCACAGGTTGCATTGAAATCCATCATCGACTCCCTCGGCATTTATGCCATCGAAGAATGTCTGCTGAAGGAGTTGCCCGGCCTGTTCAAGCCAGAGACCGTGTACGAGTTGAATGCGTCCACCGTCACCAAGATTGCCGGAGAGTCTGTCGAGCTGCTTGCCGAACGCGAAGATCTCAACAAGAAGTTGCGAATTCTGCAGATGACAATGACCACTTTACGACGCATGAAGACATTTACTGATCCAGGTGAGTATAATCTTTAAGGACCCTTCACTCTACATAGCTCCATCCATGCTTTGCCTTCCGATGTTCTCCCTCCGATGTTCTCCCTCCGATGTT